CCAAGATAATTAGCCTAGCCATCACCTCCAAAAGATCCCTTGTCCTCTTTTCTATCCTCTTTTCTCCTCCTCCCCACAACCTCCTGTTTTGTCTGTTTTCTGTCATTGTAGATCAGTTTTCAGGTGCTTTGAAATTTATGTTAATGAAATTATACAGTAACTCTTTTTTTATTGTTTCTTTTATTCACACTAATTATTTTGAGATTCATCCATGCTGTTGTATGAACAGTAACTTATTTCTTTTTATTGGAATAGCAATTCATTGTTTGAACATGCCACAATTTGTTTATCCATTCATCTATTGATAGACATTTGGGTTTGTTTTCAGTTTTTGGTCATTTATACTAATAAAAGGGTAATATGCTAATTAAACCAGACATCTTCCAGATGTCCTTCTGGACAAAGCCACAGTGGCAGGGGCTGAGGAGGTTAGGGGTGATCAGGCCGGCAAGGGAGAGCAATTAGGGGCGATCAGGCTGGCAGGCGGAGGTGGTTAGGCCTGCAGAGATCAGGCCTAAACCAGCAGTCAGACATCCCTCCAGGGGTCCTGGATTGGAGAGGGTATGGGCCAGATTGAGGGACTCCCTCCCACCATGTATGAATTTCATGCACCTGGCCTATAGTTATTAATAAAGCTGCTATAAACATTCATGTACATGCCTTTGTATGAACATGTGCTTTCATTTCTCTTGGTTAAATACATAGGAAAGCAATGACTGAGTAATGTGGTAAATATGTTTTTAACTTTTTAAGAATGTGACTAACTGTTCTTCAAAGTAGTTGTACCTTTTTATAGTTCACCATTCTCACCCACACTTGTCTTGTTCAGTTATTTCTTTCAGCCATTCTAATAGTTATGTAGTTATTGTGGTTTTAATGAGCCTTTTCCTAATAACTAATGATATTGAAAATTCTTTTCATGTGCCTATTTATAATTCTTATATCTTATTTGGTACTTGTTCAAATCTTTGCCAAATCTTATTGATTGATTTATTGTTGCATTTTAAGAGTTCATGATACACGGTAAAAGTCCTTTAAAAGAGAATGTGTTTTATATTATTTGAATCATTTTAAATGTATTCAGACTCCTTCCATGGCCCAGAACAAGGTTTATTTTGGTAAATGTTCTATGCACATTTGAAAAGAAAGTATATTCTACTGCTTTTGAGTGGGAATTTCTATAATGTCAATTCAAGTTTGTTGATAGTGTTCAAGTCTTTTACATTTGTGGTAGACAGACTAATAGTCCCTCAAAGATGTCCATGTCTTAATCCGCAGAATTGTGAATATGTTACTTTCCATAACAAAAGGAACTGTATTCAGATGGGGACAGTAGCCTGGATTGTTCAGTGGGTCCAGTTTAATCACACGAGTCTTTAAAAGAAGACAGCTTTTCCCAGCTGTAATCAAAGTAAGATGTGACTATGAAAAAAGGGTTAGACATTGCTTGCTTCAAAATTGGAAGACGAGAGGCTTGAAAACATAAAGAAATGGATGCTTTTCTAGAGATTCCAGAGAGGAATGCAACCTTACTATATCTTGATTGCAGCCCAGTGAGACCTGTGCTGGGTTTCTGACTTACAAAACTATGAGATAAATTTGTGTTGTTGAGGCCAAAATTTGTGATAATTTGTTATAGCAGCTAGAGGAAAAAAACAAAACTATATTTGCCCATATAGTTAGCATTTCCAATGCCCTTTATTTTTATTTTTATTTTAGATCCAGATTTCTGTGCTAATTGGTATCATTTTCCATCTATTAAAAAATTTCCTTTAAGGTTCTTGTTGTGAGTACCAGAGGGAAAGAAGGTAGAAGAGGGCAGTAGTTGGCAAACCACGGCTCGAGAGCCGCATGCGACTCTTTGGCCCCTTGTGGCTCTTCCACAAAATACCAAGGCCTGGGCAAGCCTATTTTGAAGAAGTGGCATTAGAAGAAGTTTAAGTTTAAACAATTTGGCTCTCAAAAGAAATTTCAGTCGTTGTACTGTTGATATTTGGCTCTGTTGACTAATGAGTTCACCGATCACTGGAATAGGGTAAAGGAGGGATAAATGGTGATGGAAGGGGAAGGAGAATTGATGTTGGGTGGTGAGCATACAATACAATATCAGATGATGTATTATAGAATGGTATACCTAAAACCTATATAATTTTATTAACCAATGTCACCCCAATAAATTTAATAAAAAAGTTTTTAAAAAGAAAGAAAAACGTGACAGGATAGGGGAACTATGCACAAACTTCATTAGCATCAGTTAGCTGTGAATTACTCTACTCAGAAATGGCTTAAGTTGCCTCAGGCTTTGTATTGATACTAATATATATCCTAAGGGGTAAAACCTTTATGTAATTCATCAAGGCTTTCCACCTCAAGGAATTTGGGTAGAGCATAAAAACAACAACAGAAGTTGCTTTTTTAAGAACAAAAGAAGAAAGTTGAATCATGAAATTGCTGGGTCATGATCTAAAATAAATATCCATTAGAGATTAGACAGTAAAGAGTCACTATTCAAGAGGATTTCTAAAAATAAAAAAATAGGATATGGATAAGCAAGTGTTTGAGAGTCCTAATGTAAATAAACTTTATCTGAGGCTGGGGGAGGGAGGAGAGAGAGAATAAAAATGGTGCTTATCTTAGAATGGGCAGGACATTCCATAAATGTATTCATAAACAGGAAAATCTGTCCTTGGAATCTTACTTCCAAGCCATTTGTATCCACTGCCAACACACCGTTAGCACAAATATCCCTCATTTACTGCTTATTCCTTATCTGTGAGTATTCTCTCAGGTGGTGGCCTCTGGAGTTTTTACACCAAGACACTGACCTTTGCTGGCCATAGTTGATTGAATCATAGAAATACCCTGCCTGGTCAAACAGATTCTTTAAGAATTTGGAATTGGGGTTGCTGTGTGTGTTTTTATCCTCACCTGAGCATATGTTTTATTATTTACTAGAGGCCCAGTGCACAAAATTCGTGCATGGGAAGGGTCCCAAGGCCAAAGGCGTTCTCAGTGTGCAATTTATAATCTTCAGAGCTGCTTCTTTTTATTTAAGTTTCACTAACTACTCTAGGAGAGTAGGTAGTACCATTATGAGGGGATGGGCCAGGTGAGCCTGCTTGAGGCCAAGGGGTAGCAATGGGTTCCCGGGATGCAGCAGAGAGATGGGTGGGGCTGAGGCTGAGAAACTGAGTCTAAAACTTGAAAGGAAGTTGGAGGCAGTGAGGTGTGGAGGTTGACAGTATCGTAGAAAAGCTGCTGGGTGGGGGCAGCTGAGGACCCTGGCTCCACAACCCTCTCTTCTCCTCCCTTGTGACCTGTCACCCAGCTCTCCTCCAAAGCCCTGCCTGGGCTCACCCTGCACAGCTCCTCACCACCCCAGGGCCTGCACAGCCTCGCCTACTCCACACAGCCCTGCCCAGCCCTCAACAGCCTTTGGCCTAGGGCTTGGGCCAAACCTTGGGAGCTTCCTGACAGCTCTCACCTCATACCTCACTTTCCAGTCCAGCCCACCAGCACCCACAGCAAGCTAACCTATTGGTTGGAGCATCTGTCTCCAGGTGGGCAGTGCACATCATAGCAACTCATTGAGTGGTCAAACTCCCAGTGGAACTCTGGTCAAGGGGACAATTTGCGTATTAGGCTTTTATTATATAGGATAATAATTAATCCATCACCTTTACTATATATATATTTACCTCTACCAGTGAGACTTATACGTTTTGTTACTAATGCCCTTTATTCTCAACTTAAAGAATTTAACGTTTCTTGTAAGGCCATTTTACTTTTTAAATGTTTTTATTGATTTTAGAGAGGGTCAGGAATAGAAACATCGATAAGAGAGAAAAATCTATCTGCTGCCTGCAGCATGCCCTCTACTGGGGCTGGAGCCTGTAACCCAGGCATGTGCCCTGTCTGGGAATTGAACTGACCTCCTGGTTCATGTGTTGGTGCTCAACCACTGAGCTACATTAGTCAGGAGTAAGGCTAGTTTAGGGATAATGAATTCCTTTAGCTTTTGCTTGTCTGGAAAAGTATCCTTCAATTCTGAATAACATTGCTGGTAGAGTATTCTTGGTTGGAAGCTTTTTTCTTTTTAGCACTTTAAATATATTGTGCCAGTCCTGGCCTGCAGTTTCTTCTGAAAAATCTGCTCATTGTCCTCTAGGGTTTCCCTTGTACCAACAAGATGTTTTCTCTTGCTGCTTTTAGGTTCTTTAAAAATTTTTTTTGATTGATTTTAGAAAAACATTGACTTATTTTTCTATTTTATTTATGCATTCATTGTTTGATTCTTTTATGTACCCTGACTGGGGATCAAACCCACAACTCTGGTGCTTTGGATCCAACCAACTGAGCTATCCAACCAGGATTCTTCTATTCATCTTAAAGTGGCCCTTTTAGCACTTACTGTGAAGGAGCTTCCAATTAGTTTTCAGGTCTTTTTCAGAAGGAATTGTTTCATTTGTAGTTACAGAGTGGGTGTGTGTGACAGATGAGTTCAGGATCTTTTTAAAAATTTTTATTATTGATTTCAGAGAGCAAGGGAGATAGAAAAATCAATGACGACAATCATTGATGAGCTGCCTCTTGCGTGGATGGCCCCTAACTAGGGACTGAGCCTGAAACCCAGGCATCGAACCAAGAATTGAACCATGACTCCCTGGTTCATAAGTAGATGCTCAACCACTGAGCCAAGCTAGTTGGGCAAGTCAGGATTTTAGATGTAAATTATGAACCAAAAGAGGAACAGAAACCCAAACTGACAAGTGTGAATTATCAATTTTGTGACAGAAATGGAGTAGTAGTGCCTTCAATCACCTACAAATCATTTGGAAATCTTTATAAAATGCATAATCTGTTTATTAGGTCTGGAGTAGAGACTCAGATTCTGTATTTGTAGAATTTTTAGTGCAATATTTCCATGTTTTCACTCTAAATACCAATGATAAGTACACTGAAACTGTTTGTAAAAGTTCAGGGTGTATAAAAACGAAAGCCATGTTTGAAAATTATTTATTTACATTTCAAACTCACATTAAAAATGTTCTAAGATAGAATGGCTAAGATGAAATATACAGGGTTGATATACACATTAACCGTTATTTGAGAAGAATCCTAGAGATGGCTTTAGTTGAACTCAGGTTTCCTTCCCAAAACCAATGTTCCTTAAATCATGCTGTGATGTCTTCCCATAAGAATAAATTTAACTTATCTCTCAGAAAAACGGAGAAACAAAAAACTAACTTGGATTTATTATTAAACAGCTATACATATGCCATAAAACCAAAACAATTTTGAGGCTGAGATGTTCAAATAGGTCCAAACATGATATAATGAATAAGTTTTAAATATGGAATGCTTTGGTTATTTGGCCTTCACTTGGATTTTGGTTTACTAGTATAATTATATCATTCCAATAGTCATTCCAGGTAACCCGCTCAAAATCAGATTTGCTTAATACTATTTTTGCAAAGCACTGAACCTTCCCTTGATGGGAATACCTTTAATGCTGACAGTAGCAACACCTTTCATTGTTCCTTCACTCAGGAAAAAAGAAAAAAAAACACAAAAAATAAATTCATCCCGACATGTTAAAATCTGCCATAAAGTCTTATTTATTCTTTAAAAAAAGGTTCCTCATTAATAACACATGCCCTGGGTATTGGTACATTTCTGAAATAAAGCACATGACTTGGTGATCTATTTATGTAAAATATACTTAAGATGAAACATATAAACAATGCATTTGATGCTTCTGGGGAGGATTTGCATTTAAAATCTGAGTTTATTAAGTTTTTAAAATCTGAGTTTATTAAGAATTTTAGAAAAATAAATAAAATACTGTGGTGGTCCTACCCTTCTACGTTTTTTCCTTCACAAATTTGAGCTTAAGAGCTCAGGCTTCTAAAAAGCAGAAGAGTGTAAAACAGAATAAGGTTCTATGGCCCTCTTTTAGTGCACTGTGACATTATCACAAAGGCAAACTAGATTCTCTTTCCTTGAAATGACGAGCCCATCATCTAGAACTTAATTTAAGTAACCGTTCTTAGGAAGTCAAGAAAAAGTGCTTTTAACAAACAAGCAGCTATAAATGTCTATAAAACAATACATAACTTGCTATTTTAAAGGGTGCTATTATAAAGTTTAAAAGCAAAATCTAAACATTTTAACAGTTTAATCTCCTTAAAGGGTCTTTTAAAAAGCTATAAATTATACTATAAATTGCCAGTTAAATTCCCATTTTAATCTACTTTACAAAAATAAATTGCTGCACAAATGTATCAATTAAGGAAGCTATATATTTCTCATGTTGTTCTTTTTCCCCCCCAATCTCAAAAGGGCAGTAAAGTGAGTGCACCTAGATGTTGGTTAAATAAACTTTCATTGGAGCAGCATTTTGATTTTGGATAAAGGGATCATAAATGTAGTCTAAAACTTTCCAGAAAGTCACATTCACATTCATTGTAAAGCATTTTATATACATATACAGATTTACAATAAACAAACAAATTAACCTACACTTTTCATAATGTAAAAATTAAAATACACAGATGATCGTATGCTATAGCAACTATTTGAGAAATATGTTGGTGTTCATTTCTGATGGCAATAACTTTGAGTAACTTGAAACATATCACATAAGCATACCACAGATACTAATTTATGACCTAAGCCTCGGCCAGTGGTCGGCAAACTGAGGCTCACGAGCCACATGCAGCTTTTTGGCCCCTTGAGTGTGGCTCTTCCACAAAATACCACGGCTTGGGCAAGTCTATTTTGAAGAAGTGGCGTTGGAAGTTTAAGTTTAAAAAATTTGGCTCTCAAAAGATATTTAATCGTTGTACTGTTGATATTTGGCTCTGTTAACTAATGAGTTTGCTGACCACTGGGCCCTACGCCTAACCATAGTTTTAAAAGTGAAAAATATTCTCTGTTAAATTGAATGCGGTAAAAGTAGTTGCATTTAGTAGTAATATTTGCCCTGGAAAAAAAAGATGAGGGAAGGCAGATATCAGATACTTTGAGGTACAATTGTAGGGAAGGATTAAAATTATTTGTCCGGGAGGAAATCAGGATTTTCTTATAAAAGCTGTCTAAAAATGAAAATGTTTGCTTCATGAGTATAAACTCCCATACTCTGTCAAGACTCTTGTAGTAAGGACTCTCATGTTGGCAGGTGGGACTAATGGTAGGTGGTTAGGCCTGGAGGAACTCTAAAGTTTCTTGAAGCAAATTGTGCTATGATTGAGTTTCTAACATGTGACTTCTTAGGCTTCATCTTTTGTTCCTGCCCATAAATCAGTGTCTGCTTTTGCTGTTATACCTCTTGTAAATCAATGGGTTTGGCCTTCCAGGGATATATCTAAGTGAATATTTCTTATCTAATTGCTCTCCCACAAAAACAAATAGGTGATTGTGATAAGCTTTGTTAGTGTTCTACAGCTAATAAAGTCTTCCACCAACTGCTGGCTGATGTCGGCTACCACATAGCTTTTACTTGGGGGGCAAAAAGCTATCCAGTCTACAATGTTTACTGTTCTACAAGTTCTAGTCTTGAGACTGAGTGGGAAATCCTATTTGGCACCTCTTTACCTCAGAGAGTATGCCAATGCTTATCACAGGAAGAAATTCTTATCATATTTGAGGTGTAGAGGAGTAGGAAGTGTGGAACAAACAAGTAAATAATAATTACTCTATAAATTAAAACCAAGGCCTTTTCCCCCAAGAATATTATATTTACTGAAGTATAGAAATAAAAATCCCACTATGGCTCTTAACGTAAGACAAATAAATATGTTCACATGCTTTATACATTTTAAATTTGTAAAGAGGACCTATGTTTTTTCAAAAAGACAGTTTAAAGTATTATTCCCTGAGTTCTTGAGGCAACCCCATATGTAATCTCATGAATTCCAAGACAAGACTTTGGAGAGACTGAAACCCACATGGTGTGCTTATCTGGCTGTTTTCCCAGTGGTTTGTCCAGTGCCTTCCTGTAGGTCAAATGCTTTAAGGACATGGCCTTATCCATTTTTTTGTTTGTTTTTTAGACAAGCTCCCGAATGAAGCTTACAAGAAGGAGAGAAAAAGACTGTTTAAAGAAAGTAAAGTTTTAACATTAGTTAACAGTGCAGTTGGGTAAATCAGTTTTATATCTATAACACAGCAAGAGTGATAACACTGTCACACGTGGTAGAAGGTAAAGCTCTATGAACGCTGGCTTTTCTGACCTCAGTGGTAATTGAGCCCAGTTTCTGTTACCAAGCAGAAAGTCTACCAATTCATTCAAAGAATGAAACAGAAGGACTTTCCCATATTTAAATATTAAGAAGGCATATACTTGCCTTCAAATAAAGATCAAAACAACAAAATTAATTAGATCTCAAACTTAAAAATATCTGGAATTTAATAATTATTTTTTTAAAACTCATTAAAAACTGGAGTTTTAAGGTTCTTAAATTGCTGTTAATATTTACCTTCTTGGTGGCTAATAAAATATTTAAAAATTCAAGACTTGAGAACACTTCAAACAATGAAATATGTGAATATTTGTTTGCAACTCCCATTAAAGTCTGTTACAATGAATGGAAACTCCAATTTTGTTGCTAGAAGTTTTAGGTTAGGCTTATCTTGAAGCCATTAATTGTTTCTTATCTATAAATAATAAAAGGGCAATATGCTAATTAGATTGGACATCCAGCTGGATGAAGCCAGGCTGAAGTGAAGCTCCGATCCCCGGGTACCAGGTGCTTGAGGGTGGCCGGAGGGAAGCTGCCCGGGTCCCGGGTGCCAGAAGGAAGCCAGTGCTGGCAGCTGGGATAAGGAAGGCCTACTCTTGCACAAACCTTTGTGCATCGGGCCTCTAGTATTTAAAAAAAAAAAAAAAAAAAAAAGGATAAAATGTTGAGAGAACCCACTGAAATGTTCCATCCATTTCAGTAAAGTGCACAAACATGAGTGTATCCTTTGGCTTTGCTATGACCTCAAGGGAGGGGTAGAAGTCAATGGTGCTGGTGTCAGATTCCTGACTATATTACTGAGGCTGGCAATCTTCTCTTCCAAGAGGTAATTTTTCTTCTCGGCTGTTTTTTGTCGCTGTTCAGTCATTTCCAGAGCTTTCAACAACTGGGCATTTTCAACATACAAATCCTTCACCATTGCATCTGCTGTAGTATTCTTGCAGAGCTAGAAACAGAACCAGAAACATCTTGACTCCATTTCTGTAATTCTTTTAAAGCCTGACATAAGGACAGTTGTTTATAAAGGCAAATGGCTCCTATCAATTATTTTCTTTTATTTTACAATACAGCTTTAATATCAGATTTGCATTAGAGGGACAAGTGGAGCAAATCCACTTGTTCCAGGCTGTTGCTTTGCATTATATGTTTGTAGAAGTCACTAATAGAAAGAACAAATTGGCATTTATGGGTTAAAAAATGAAAGTGTTTTCCACCTAAATAAATTGGGTATTATTTATTCTCTAAAAATATTATAATTTATAAACTTAAAATTTCTGAGTTTTAGGGTGAGACTGTGTTTAACTCCGTTCTTAACAGTAGATGTTTGAGCTTCCCATTCATAACTACAACCTACTGATTATTTTAAAATGTGGCTCATGTGTTATAACAAATAGATAAGATTTTCCTTAATTCTTCCTCTCTTGCATAGAGCCTTGTCCACAAGATATATTCTAATAATTATAGTTAGAACACATAGTCTAGGTTAGGGTGGAAAACTCTTCAGCAGCGTTGGGATAATTTTATTATTGCTTCTGTCAATATTTTCTAACCCCTCTTCCCTCATTACACCTCTAACTCCTCATTTACACCCAATTTCAAACAGGACATCTAAAAGTGTAAAGGCTGAAGGGGTCTAAAGAATGGCTAATTAATTCATTAGCATTTCATAGGGCAAGGATGTAGAAGCTAGATGACTGGTGAGTGTAACATACTAACCTATTCTCCATTGGATTGTTCTAATACAAGTTTTTCCCTCCCTCCTTTCCATTAAAAGACACGTTGATGATTCTTTAAGAATGACATTCAAACTCCATGGCTCAGCATATAAGCTACTGCCAGCCCCTCCCCGTCTCTCTAGTTTCTCCTCCTGCTTCTCCCTGGACAATGCTATGTCAAACTATTAATGCCAAAATGTTTGCAGATGTCCACACCCCGTATGTTGTCATAACTCCATGTTGTTTCCATAGCACAGAACGCCCTTCCTACATTTCTCCACCTGTTAAAATCTTACTCAACCCACAATACTAGATTTGAGGTCTTTAGGAAACGTTCTTTAAACTCACTGGGTTGCATCAAGGATTCCTTTTGTGTTCCCCTCCACTGAAAATAGAGTGGACACCGTTTTCTTTATTTTTGATACTGCTGGCCATATGCTCAGTACTTTGTAGGTGAACTACACTACATGTGGGCAGAGATATTGTTTTGTTCACTTCTGTACGCCTAGTGCTCAGAACAGTACCTGGCACATAGTAGCTACCCTGTTTCCTGGAAAATAAGACAGTGTCTTATATTAGTTTTTTTCTCCCAAAATTGCGCTAGGTTGTATTTTCAGGGGATGCCTTATCTTTCCATGCACTAGGTCTTATTTTCGGGGAAACACGGTATGTACTGAATTAATTAATGATTAGAGGGGTGAATCAATAAACGGTTATTTTACAGGACTTTTTCTTTTCATTCTGTGTCTTAAGACAAAGGACAAGGGAAAGCTCCTGTCTACCTCTGCATTAAGACCCCGTCTTGGATTATTCTTCCTAATTTTATGTATCTAGAAAACAATGCTGGACAACTTCCTTCTGCCTAACCGACATTTTTTTTTTTGTTAACCCCAACCAGTTCAACTCAAACTTTTTAAAAACCGAGTCCTTGTTGATGTCTCTCCAGTGGATGCACATATAATTTCTAAACACAGAGGCCATACCTGCCACCAGAAGGTGAAAAGGTTCAGGCTGCTTGGTGATCTTGGATCTCAGGGTCTGCATTCTAATTCAAAGCATAGCCTTTTGAGTCTGGTTATAACAATAAGGTATTTTTTGAGGTTGTCATGGCTGTTACAAACAGGAAAGCTAAAGTTCTATATATTATCCAAATTTTTAACAATATAAATTTTCTGTTTATTTAAGTAGATATATTTCCTGTCTTGATTAAAAAAAATCTGAGAGTCACTGTTAGCAAATACACATTTTAAAAATTGTGGACAAATATATGTCTTAAAAGAGTTTCAGAAAAAAGTAATGTACAATACAGGTTTCATATTTTTCAAGGGAATAGGGGAATGTGAGTCCTAAATTCTTCTATACTTTCACAGTAGAATTTGCCTTTATTAGACAACAGTTAAGTTAATGGCAATAAAGAAATGTAAAACTGGAGTTAAAAGTGGAATGTAAGGTGGGTGGGTGGAGATGACCTTGGAAGCTCACTTGTTCTTTGAGCTGATTTACTTTCTCCTGAAGAAGCCTTTTCACCAATTTCAACTTCTGTTCAACTTCCATCATTCGTTCCTCCATGGCAGTTATCATTAGTTCCTGGTTTTCCTGAAGGGGAAAAAACATATTTTCATTTGGAAATCATGCCACACTGAAATGAAAACACTATTAGTTTATTTCCCACATAAGATGTCTAGAGAAAGGAGAGCAACTATTTGCCTCTGTAACAGGAAGGGTGGGTTTCTTATGAAATGGAGTTCTGAGCCCTGCATGGGTTGCACATGTTAGAAGACTAATCCTATCAGAGGAAGAATCAAAGATTAAAAAAAAAGAATCTTACCTGTGTTACCATCTTCCCCTCAGATAAAGCAAAATTCTTAAGACCCATAATTTAATACCTGTGTGTGCTTTTTGTATTATAAAATAGGTATCTAACGTAAATTAAAATATGGATATTAACCTTCCATCTGTGATTTGGGTCTTTGCAATCCTGTGGGCCTCTTTAACAAAAAAACAAAAACTGAGTGTATTCAGGGTTGTCTAACATCTCCAATCAGCTTGCAATAAGCATGTTTGTTTTTCCTTCGAAATGGTCGATTACAAGGGAGGTGTTAGTGAAAATCAGCTTCTTCCCAGTTACTCTCCTCATCTGTTTCCAGTTTGACTTGTCAATGTGAGGCAAACATCTGGATTGGAGGATGGATTTATCATCGGAACAGATTGAAAATTAAGAATCTTCTCCCCACAAACAACTCCTAGATAAAATAGGGCAGCAAAAGAGCTCTGGTTTCTCCTCTCCTCACAAAACAGTGACAGATCAAGGAATATGTGGGCTCTGGGGAGAGATTTAGAGTACAGTTGACTGCCCCTCCCCACAGTCCTCCAAAATGTTCACAGAAGGAGTTTCAGATTTTAAAAGGTTCTTCAAATGTTAAGCAGGTGTTAGTGGCTGATGGCATAACCAGCTTTTAAAAATATTCTCAAAAAGGCATCCTTTAAAAAGCACGCAGAATGACCAAATATGAGTTGAAAGCCAACATCTGTTTGATTATTAAAAGCATTTTTTCAAACATAAGAGGAACAACTAAATATGAGACTGACTTGAAGATAAAAATCATAGTAGGCAAAAGCATAATGTAGAAAGTAAATTTCAGGAAATCAGACTTTGAGAGCATCCAGCTTTTTAAAAAATCCTATATTTTAAGATATAATACCTTTTTAAAATTTAAACTAAAAATAGAAAGTGCCTGATTTCCACTTGCCTTCAAAAATACTAAACTAAACAAATAAAAAACAACAGTTAATTAATTCAAATAACATGGAGCATGGGCAAAAGAATGGGAAAGAGGAAAAACAAAGGCAGTCATATTTAAAATTTATTTTATTGTTTCATCAAAATTTTCCTTTTTCCTGTCAGAAAAGTACTGTACATCTTATACAAAACAGTATAAATAAACCCTGATTTTCTTCAAATTCCATATATAAAAGTAGTACCTTTTATTAAAAATAGTTACAACATATGGAATGAGAAAATATATAGAAACACATCCTTTCAAAAGAACCTTAAACCCACTCTTTAAATGATATAAATAAAATGATTTGTAACAAGCTGAAATTTGTGAATTTGATCCACAAAATTTGTCATTTCTACATAAATAAATAAGAGACAGAATACTGCAAAGGCATAATAATTAATAATAATAATAATGATAATTTAAAAGAGCACTTGATTCCAAAACATTCCTCAGCTTATGTCTCTGTGTTGTGTGGTATGTGTGGTGTGTGGGTGTGTGCATTTGAGTATCTGCCATGGTAAGAAATGCCATCAATAGCAGCCCAGTGTTCACAGGTGCCCAATCCTTCTGTAGGAATCTGCATGCACTGCTCGCTGCTCCGGTAGCAAGGCCTAGAGAAAGAAGGCAAGTGGTACACTTCACCCTGATGTCCAGAATATGTTTTTTGGGGGGAGTCTAAATTCACACATTTATAATGCAAACAAGTTTTAAAAGCACACACATCAACACCACACATGCAAGCAACATAAAGAGAGAAGAAATCACATCACTGCATGCACCAGAGACAGCATGCAGATTCTAATAATATTCTTAAAAGTAGTGTCAGCTCAGTTACAGAAACAGGAGAACCAGTAGTAGCATTCTAGTGAGAGCATAAGCAGTCCCTCTGACCAGAGAGATTGTTTTTTAAAGTATAAAAATTGTAACCTTTTCTGTCTACCTAATCCTGAAGTAATTGGAGTACTAGGATATTTATTTTTAAACCTTGGTGGGAAGAGCATGCTTTGAAAATGCTGTGTTTGAGAAAGCAGTGAGCAGAGTCTTAGCCTAATCATTGATTTAAAATGTCCAGTAAATTTGAGGTCAAGGTTTTATAATTCAACTCTGTAATGAAGAGTTAAAGCATCTAATACCTCACCCCCACAATTTTTATTCAAGAATTTAATTTTAATATTTCATTGAAGTGGAGTGTATAGTAAGCTTCTAAAGACATGGATTTTAAAGCACAAAAGAAAAAAAATTGTTACGGTTTTGTTGGCAAGAATAGAGGACAGAAGTACATCATGACAAAGCATAGATACGTATTAGGAGAGGAAAAGACAACTGCTCTAATGTTTAATTATAGTGTTAATGTGACTTTGCAAAGCCACTTCGAGGGGATTACAGAAAAAGAGTTGGGAAACTCTTTTATCAAATGTTAACTGAGAAGCAAAGTATTTGAAAAAAGAAAAGCATCCAAACCAGAAAGAATTAATTTAGAATTTTATAAACTGAGTATTTAAAATTTTATTTTTAGTTCTGAGTAAACCAAATGTGCAAGACCAAATAGTAAAAGATTTCTGGAAAGGGGTGATTATGAATGAAGAGAAATAACTATTTGAAAATCTAGGCGATATAAGATTGTGCCTGGAGGTGAGCTGGGATAATGTTAATTGAAAGGAAAGGGGAAGATATTTTTTTAAAATCTTAAACTACATTATATAAAAAATTATTTTTGAAAAACTCTAGTTTAAGTGAACTATGTTATCTAAAGAGACATTCAACTTTGTTAGTTGTGAGAAGTCCCCAGCTGTGAATTCCATGGAATCAGCAGGCTGCACCCCTCTGACCAAGAAAACCCAGGAAGTTATGCGTATCCTAGAGTTGCACTTGAATTCTGTAATATTTTGGCATCAGAGAAGAATATTAGGTCAATTGTTCACTATGTGCAAGTGATCCTGATACTTCATCAATTATGAATGTGCAAAATAGACTCAGAACACTTCTTACCCAGCTGAGAAGCTGAGCACTCAAAAGCAGCACTGAACAAAACAAAACAAAACAAAAAAGGCACTGCACCTCAGTGGATTTGTAAGACAGGTAAGGTGTAATCTCCAACAGAAGATTTTACATTCTTTATCTCCACCTTTCGACTGGCATAACTTCAAGCAAACAGGTAAAATCAAATGAGGTGATCTGAGTTTCTAATACAGGGGGAGAAGCCTCCTACCTGTGGTGTGTTGGTTTCAGAGGTTCTGTTTTCAGGTTCCTCCTGCAGGCGCTGGCTTATCCTTTCCGCCTGCAGCAGCTGGTGTTGGAGCTGCAGAAACTGCTCCCTGGGCACCATGGGACAGGCTTGCTGCTGGAGAAGCTGCAGATCCAGTGCGTGAGGGGGTGGGCTAAGCATCACAGTGGACCTCGGGTGCTGCATCTGGAGGAGAAGGGCACAGCCCTGGTCAGCGGCAGTGCCTTCCGTCACAGAGCTGCCCCTCAGACACAGAGCTGCCCCTTTGTCACAGAGCTGCCCTTCCGTCACAGGCATGTTAAGCAGAGAGCAATGAAGCCTGACCCACTGATAACTTGCAAATCAGGATAATGCTTGAGCCCGAGTAAGAAGCAAATTGGATGCATCATTTTGCTTAGGCGAAAAAATGCGTAACCAATGGATACAGATTACAGTATGGTGAAGGCCTGGGGGAGTGAGGTATCAGGTGGAGGGGGTCAATGGGGAAAAAAGAAGGACATATGTAATACTTTCAACAATAAAGATTAAAAAAATAAATCAGGCCTTCTTAAAAGTTTTAGACTTAAAATTGTTCTTCCTCACTCTTGAGTGACTATAAGAATATGAGGTACATGACGTCCATAATGTTTGAATCCTACTTCATTTTATACTTACACTAGAACTTTTTTACTTATCCCTCTTCAAGAAACAACATCCACCACCAGGGTTGGAGTAGACAATGGGGAGAAAGATATCATAGAACATCTGGGAATTGAAGTACATGGAATGCAAGTATTTGTTGAAGATAATGAGGAAATGATATGTTATCACATGCCAATCAAGGTTGGGGAGAGGGAGAAGGAGCAGAGAGTGCACTGCATTTGGCCAAGAAGCATGCCAGTTCACATCTGTTGACACATTTCAGCAGCACACAGGACTCGATGAGAGGCAGGCAACAAACATGACCAAGTACTAAACTCAGGTAGGACCCCCAGGCCTGTGAGAAGGGAAACAGGGTCTCTAAGACACAACTGTAGTGACGTGTTATCATGAAACTTCAGAGCCACTATCCATTTCTTTAAATCTGAATTTCTAAGGTGGGCCATAGATTCAGAAAAGCCCCCACTTTATTTTCAGGAATAAAGTAGTATATGGAGAATTATAAATCCCATGATGTTATAACATTGGGATGGCTTTCATCACATGTCTTCAAACACTGAGTTTTAGATACTGAGGACAAACCTATGTAAATATAAACATATTCCACAGTTAAAGCAAAATGAAAATGAATATTGGCTCTTACCTGACGTACTTATTAACTTAGAAATGATTACATGGACAAGGAATTTAATGAGATGTCTCCATGCTACGAAATTCATTGAAAGAGAATGTTCTACCTTCACACACTAGCTCAGGCAGAGAACTGCACCCTTCTCTGCTAGTTCCAACCACAGAGTTCTAGGTACAGGTTAGCCACAGACAAAACAAAAACAAAAGAAAATTACAGGAGTTATAAAGAGAAGAAAAGCATTAGTTACAAAAAGAGAAAGAAGAGTACAAATTTGGTATATTATATACCTGAATATGTGTACTCTAGTCCGTAAGAACTTACAAAGGACCAACAGTTACATTTTTGAGTATATAAATTGTACAGATAATAAAAATATTTGGAAGTAGGTGGTGATGGTTGTAGAACATCATGAATGTAATTAACACCATTGCATTGTATACTTCAAAATGGTGAAAATGGCAAATTTTATGTATATATTTATCACACATTTAAAAATAAACAATACACCAAAAAAACATTGAGTTGTACATTTTAAATAGGTGAATTGTAATATGTGGATTATAAGTCAATAAAACTACCAAATAATCCAATTTGTATAGATTTATACAGAGTTAATAGCGTAGTCTTATTTTCCTAAAGGAAGTTTTGTTACAATAGTGTATAAGATGTTCTTTCCAGTGTTCCAATAAAACATTCATGCTTTTTCTTTATTCAGCTCTAGTGCCAAGTATACTCCCTCATCCATTTGTAAATATTTACTATTAGATCAGGGAGAAAAATAACGAGGGAAAATTGCGTAGGGCAGCAAATAACAAAATGGGGTTGGGAGGTAAGGGGCTTCCGAGAGCAGGTGGGAGAACTGGCCTGTTGGCAGTGCTGGGAGAGGCTCCAGCATTGATTAAGTATACCCTGTCACTTTCAACTTGGTATTAGACATGTCAGTCTCAGCGTCAGCTATGTTATTCATTAGAGTATGTAATTATTTCATCAGAAAAGCATATCTACATCTAAACACAGCCCACAGCTCAAGGTTTTGAACACATTTATTATATGCTGTCAGAGAGAGAAAATGGTTTGGATTTCACTATTTATAGCTCACTAATCTCTCTATTAGTGGATAAAATCAGGGGATATGAAAGTGACAGAAACCTCAGTGGTCATTTAAATGTCAATGTGAGCCGAAACCGGTTTGTCTCAGTGGCTAGAGCGTCGGCCTGCAGACTGAAGGGTCCCAGGTTCAATTCCGGTCGGGGACACGTACCTTGGTTGCGGGCACATCCCCAGTGGGGGTTGTGCAGGAGGCAGCTGATCGATGTTTCTCTCTCACCGACGTTTCTAACTCTATCCCTCTCAATTCCTCTCTGGGTAAAATCAATAAAATATATATTTTTTTAAAATGTCAATGTGATATATTTACCCATATTTCACATTTAAAACCCAAGCATCTATTTAAAGTTACCTTTGCATGTGCCCAGCTTCACAAAATTATGTAAACATATCTCTCCCTTCCTATAATCCTGGCTTAAAAATATTTGTACTTTTTTAGAGCACAAAAAAAGACATTTCCTACTCATGCCTCTCTACCTTTTAGAGATTTTACAGTTCACTAAACATTGGATTAATATTTTCACCTACCTAAAGCCAAGTATCTCAATGAAATTATAACTTATCCAGGAGGACCTGTACCTAAGTTGTTTCACAGCCTCTAATGGTTCTCAGTATTCAGAAAGAATCTAGTAAACTGAAACCCAAAGTCCAGTTTCACAAACCCATCTTTATAGTAGCAGCTCTCCCTCTCCCAAGTTAGTGCTGAATTACTAATGGAATGAGCAGTGGCAATACTTGAAAGTTAAAACTTCTAAATGCTAATGTTCTCATATTCTCTGCATGGATTTCCTAACTGAACAGGTTAGAGAGCAATCATATCTATAGCACACTATAATATGGAAGGTATCAGGAAATCATTACAACCATAGCAACAGTGAGAGAGCCATAGGTTTCTTGGATAGTTTTGGACAGAATCCCTGCTGAGGTCCTTATGTTTTATGATAATCAACATTGTTCCTTCCTCTGTAAAGCAGTATGAGTTCCTATGACTGTGTATTAAGCTAAAATGTCCATCAAACATGTTTAGAGAGACCAAAGAATTCAGCTTGGTTGGCAGCATACTTAGATTTTCACTTTTTCATAAGACGAATTCAATGCTATGCTAGTTTCTTCCAACAAATGGCTCATTCATGGATTAAAATATTCTTCATAGCTAAGGCCATTTACTGAAAAGCTTACCTCCATTAGCTGCTCATCCAGTTTTACTTGTTTCATATTCAGGCCTTCAGTTTCCAAATGAATTGTTTCTAATTCTCGTTCAAGGGAATTCATTTGACTGACCTGTTAAAAAACAAACAAACAAAAATTCCCTTTAAAACAAAACAAACCCATCTGAGTTGCTCTACTTTATTTTGACAAGTTTATGCTAGTCAGAAATCTCAGCTCTTGGAAGAAAGCTGAATTATTTCCTTGAAGGAAAGCAAACAGTCTAAATCAGTGCATGTATTACATTTAAGTAGTCTAGTTTTAATCACCACTCCTTATGTAGAGCAGATTCCTTAAGGGAGCTGGCTTTCCAACTTCAATGCCACTCACTGTATAAAATACATTTTACCGTGCAACCCAGAAAACACACCCACACCCACGTGTAGGTATACATGCATAATAGTTATAAGTACATATCACTGAGAAAACTTTCAGAAATAATACTTATCCTACCATGTACTCTGACACGTTGTAGAACCGTTTATTAATAAAAAATGCTGATGTTTCACTAAATCAATGTCATGATTCTCTACTATGGGTCTGCAGTAGAAAAAAATATCATCTTAAGGCAAAGTTTAAAGGTTTAAAACTGGGGCTACATAAAACCTAAATTTTATAACTACCTTCTCAATTTTAAAGGCAAAATTTAAAGACTTTATGAGTACCCATTTCTGGAATTCTCTTTATTACAGGAAGAATCTAATTAACACACACTGTGATAATTAATACTGCTAAGTACAACATATTAGACAATGTTCTAAAATGTTGATTTTTTGCTTCTTTCAAAAGAGATGAAGAGAGTAGTAAGAACTGTTAAAAGAGTATAGTCTCTCAAGGTACAGTTAAATTTCTTATGTTAAAACTTATCATTAGACTTTCGCCTTAGTGAGCAGCTGAATGAAACCCACTGTCTTTCCTGAAAAGTTTATTTGAATATACCTAAAATTAAATGACATTTCAGCATTATAGCACTGTGTTCTTACTGCCAATGCTCATTATAATTTTCACAAACTTAAAAAAAATTATGAATTAAAATTTTTTTTTAACAGAATCAACCTGCCTTCTTCCCTCCCCCTCCCTTTTTTTTTTTTTTTTTTTTTTTTTTTTTAGTTTTTATTGTTTATATTATTACAAATGTTCCTCCCCCCCCCCCCCACCATTGCTCTCCTCCACCAGGTTCCCACCCCACCCTCTGCCCTTTTCCCTCTCCCCATTGTCCTCATCCATAGGTGCACAGTTTATGTTCAGTCTCTTCCCACGCCCCCCTCTCCCCTTTTCCCCAAGAACAAACAGTTCACTCCCCTTCCATACCTCTGATTCTATTATATTCAACAGTTAATATTGTTCATCAGATTTTTTAAATTTCCTTGGTTTTTAGATTCACTTGTTGATAGTTACATATTTGTTGTTCATAATTTTTATCTTTGTTTACTTTCTCTTCTGAAAGAACCCCCTTCAGCAATTCATATAATTCTGGTTTGGCGGTGATGAACTCCTTTAGCTTTTTTTTATTAGTGAAGCTCTTTATCTGGCCTTCGATCCTGAGTGATAGCTTTGCTGGGTAGATTATTTTTGGCTGTAGGTTTTTGCTATTCATCACCCCGAATATTTCTTGCCATTCCCTTCTGGCCTGCATGGTTTCTGTTGAGAAGTCAGCTGACAATCGTATAGGTGCTCCTTTGTAGGTTACTACCTTCTTTGCTCTTGCTTCTTTTAATATTCTCTCTTTGTCTTTTGCTCTTGGAATTTTAATAATGATGTGTCTCGGTGTGGTCCTCTTTGGATTCCTTTTGTTTGGAGTTCTGTGTGCTTCCTGGACTTGCAAGTCTAATTCTTTCACCAGGTGGGGGAAGTTTTCTGTCACTATTTCTTTCAGTATGTTTTCGATATCTTGCTCTCTCTCATCTTCTGGGACCCCCATAATTCTGATGTTGGTTCGCTTGAAGTTGTCCCAGAGGTTTCTTACATTATCTTCAATTTTCTGGATTCTCTTGCCTTCTAGCTTCTGTGGAGGACTGTCTTCTGGCTCTATATGTTCCAAATCTTTGACTTGATTCTTGCGATCTTCCCTTCTGTTTTTAGGACTCTGTAAAATATTTTTTATTTCAGACAATGTATTCTTTATTTCTTTTTGATCCCTTATCATTTCTTGTTGACTCCTTATTAATTCTAGTTGATCTCTTTTCATATCCTCATAGGCCTTGTCCATCTTTTCTAGGAAATTCTTGAAAAACCTTATAAGCGTAGATTTGAACTCTATATCCAGACGCTTTTTGTCCTCCATTTCTTTTGTTTGTGATCTATTTTGTTGTCGCATTTTGCAGTTACAGATGGGACGGGATTTCAGGGTGGAGCCTGCAGCTTTGGCTTCCGTCAGCCCCGCCCTATGCAGGTCCTTCAGTGCTCGCTGCCGGCGCCTCTGAGAGAAAGGTGCCCTTGATTTTCGCCTGCTGCCAAACAGTCTATGCTCTCCCCCAATGAGTCCGGTATTGGGGTTCAGTTCAATTGGAAGTGGAGTTGGAGGTGGCGTTCAGAGCAGTCTGGAGCCCAGGTCTCCTTCCCGTCAGGGCAATCCCGCGGCACAGCCGACTGTCCCTTCTCTGCGCGCAGTGTGCGCGCCTCCGGGACCTCCTTTCGCCTCTCCCCGGGGTTCCGCCTTACAGCCCGGCTCCCTATGGCTGAGCCTGAGTCCCCGTGGTCTGGCCTGAAACTGGGGTTCAGAGCAGTCAGGGGCCCAGCACAGTCGGAGTTTTATCTCCTTTCCGCTAGGGAACGCCCGCCAGGCACTCGGCCTCCCTCCTCTCCGGCTCCGTCCTCTCCGCGCGCCGCGTGTCTCCGTACCTTGGGCTTTTCCAGCTCCTCCGCGCCTCCTTCTGGTTTTCTCCTTGCTTCTCGCTGTAGAATTTCCAGTCAGTCAACCTTCCTGTAGTTCTGGGCAATGTCCGTTTTATATTTTAGTTGTAATTTATTGAAATTGTTGTGTGCGGCTGCGGCTAGGTGTTCACCTGGGCGCAGCCATCTTGGATCTCCTCCCTCCCCCTCCTTTTTATTGAATTTATTCAAGTGCATTGGTTAACAAAATTATACAAGTTTCAGGTGCAAGGTCTACAACACACGCTTATAACAAAGTAAATGGTCATTATTCTCACCAGATTTTAAACAAACCATATGTTTCAGAAGAGGAAGGTAACTGTGAAAACTCAGTTTTAGTTCAGAAAGAGAAAGAAAAAACATGTAACAACAAGAACTCCCAGAGTCATAAGGTCCAGAACTCCTAACTTAATGAAACAAAGGACTGAACTGTGTTATAAAAGTTTAACCACGGTGGAGCCAGCCTCCAAGACGGTCCCCTGTGAGCCCCTCCTTCCTGGTCTTCACAGTCTTGCATCATCCCAGCCCATACTCTACCAGGGTGAGTCTGGGTGAGCAACAGAATAGAGCAGAACTAGTGGTGTGAATCATTCCTGGGATTAGCTTATAAAAGGTACTACAGATTCTGTGCTGGTGTTTTTTTTGGATCTCTTGTATCACTCACTGCCACATCCTTAGAAAAGGGCCCGGGTGTGAGGGCTGAGGCCTCCGGCAGTCAGTCAGCAGGAAAAGAAGCCTCCTCCTAACAGTTGTGTGAATGAGCCTGAAGAGGATCCCCAGGTGGTATCTGGACTGCAGCCTCATGACACACCCTGAGCCAGGAGCACTCAGCTAAGCGGCTTCTGAATTCCGGACCCTCAGAAACTGTACGACAATTGTCTGCTGTTTTGTGATCCAGCAACAGATCATACAGACCTTAAAATGTTCCTAGTTTTCAGGCTATAATACTAACTTAGAGAGGCTTTATAATACTAATAAAGATGACTGTCTGTCTTCTTCATGAAAACTTAAAGTTAATGGCTCCTTTTCAAACATCAATCAGAAAGAAGTATACTGTTTTGACAAGATTACAAAGAGCATAGACATAAGGGAGAACAAAAATAGGCCACTGTGGTCACTTCCTTGGAAGCAGGCAGGGGAAGAAACACACATGTAGGAACACATCACAGTCAGAACGTAGACATGTGGTATAAATGCGTAAAAACTCACCTTCCTGTTTGCAGGAGATCTTTCCTTTTGAAACTGTTCACAGTCTCTTTTCAAGCTCAGCTTCTCCTGCTCTGTGGCCTTCACAGCACCTGATGCATTTACCTGTGTTTGGTGCATGGGGGGAAGAAGGCTGGATTCCAGCTGACGGACCTAACAAGCAAATGTAAGAGGGAGAGATGCTAAGATGATCACCCAGCCAGGAAAACAAACAACGAATGGAAGGAAAGTGTTTATATAGCACTTGTATTATTGTATTAAAAACACTCTTATTTTTTCATTCAAGTCTGCTAGTTTTCAAATCCTACTTTTTTTGTGTGTATCAAAAGATCCGTTCTAGGTAAACCTAATTTTGGTCTGATTGGCTCTAAAAACTCAACACTGTAAGGAACAGACAGGGAAGGAGGGCACTTCCGGCTCTCCCAAACCACTGGAGGAGAGTGAAGGAAGCGGCCGTGGTCCCAGCGCTTTCGCTTGGCCGTGAGCGTGACCTTCTAGGTGTGAATGAGGTGGCGGTGCCACCCACTGTGTATTGGACTGTTCACTCCTGGAACAATATATTTACATCAAACAAGTTCCATGAGGACAGTGACCTTGCCTGTCTTGGGCAGCACCGCAGCTCCAGTGATGGCATGGCTGTTGGCACACAGTAGGTGCTCAAAGTGAAAATCTGTGGCTCGAGGTGATGAAGTAAAGGTTAAACATAGTTGGTTCACTACTTAGTATAAGTAAATAATGTATAAGTAAATAATGTAAACGTCAGTTTAATGGTTGGAAGAGATGACCTCCAAAGACCATTCTAGCGGTGATGGAAGGGGACTTGACGTGGGGCAGTGAACACTCAATACACTATACAGGTGATGTATTATACACCTGGAATCTATATAGTTTTATTAACCAATGTCACCCCAATAAATTCAACTAAAATGCATTTGAGATTCAGCTATGCTGCTGTGTATGCAGGTGCTCATTTTTTCCCACTGCTGAATAGTGTCTGTGGGTACTATCTACATGTGTTCATTTTTTCCCACTGCTGAATAGTGTCTGTGGGTACTATCTACATGTGTGGATGTGCCACAGTTTGTTTTTCCACGTACCAGTTAGAGGGTGTTTGGGTTCTTTCCAATTTGGCATGCCAATTAATAAATCTAATTTAGACATTAAAAAGAGACCATTCTAACCTTTAAAGACCATTCTAAATTTGAAAGGTTTACATCTAATTTTTAAAAACCATTTTAATCTGCAAATCTTAAAATAACCTTTCAAAGTGGGAACCTTTTCTCTTACAAAGAGTTAAAGCAACAAAATTTGAGCCTTGCCTAGCCAGTTTGGCTAGGGTTATAAGAGCTTCAGCCTGTGGACTGAAGGGTCCCAGGTTCAATTCTGGTCAAGGACATGCACCTTGGTTGTAGGCACATCCCCAGTAGGGGGGTTGTGCAGGAGGCAGCTGATTGATGTTTCTCTCTCATCGATGTTTCTAACTCTCTATCCCTCTCCTTTCCTCTCTGTAAAAAAAATCAATAAAATATATTTAAAAAGAAAAAGAAAAGGATTTGAGTCTTGTTCTACCATTTTTGTACTATTAGTCTCCATTCCAGCCTATTGGAAGAGGAATATATGTTAACACTTCCATGAGTTTATGTTTTGGATATGAGAATTAAAATCACAGATTTATTTTTAAAAATGTGTTTTTATTAATTTGAGAGAGAGAGGAAGGGAGAGGGTGAGAGAAAAACATCCATGAGAGAAACATTGACCTGCTGCCTCCTGCATGCCTCCTACTGGGGATCAAGCCTTCAACCTGGGAATGTGCCCTGATGGGGAATTGAACTGGTAACCTTTGGGAGCACTGGATGATGCTCAACCAACTAAGCCATACTGGCTGGGCTATAATCACAGATTTTATTACAGAACTGCTTATACAAAAATGAAAACTATTGCATGAACATACCAGGATAAAATTAAATGAAAGTACATGATAAATTACATATTCTCAAAATAAGTCTGCTGTAACAGAATACTCAAATCCACACCCTAGAACTATTTTAAACATATAAAACATTCATTTTCACCTCAAAGGAAGCATTTTCAGACATATGCCATCGTGTGCAACGTACCTTCTCCCGGGAGTGGGTGAGCTCTGCTTTGGTGTTCTGCACCACCGTTTGGAGTCTCTCGTTCTCTTGCCAAAGCAGCTGCTGTTCCTCATTCCTTAGATGATCCAACTTGTCCCACGATAGCCGCTGCTGCTGGTTGTGGAATCCTGATGGGTGGGGGGCCACTGCTGGGGCCCAGTTCTTAAGAGACAATTGCAGAGGTAAGCCTTAAAAACAAAGCTGATTTCTGTTGTCAGTGTCATGCTTACCTAATGACAATTCTTAGGAGGTACCTTTCAACCTTCACCTTTGTCTTTGAATGGGAGTGAATGTATGTATATGTAGATATAAATAAAACAATGTTATTGGTGTTTGAACAAAAAGAGGTTTGTAAACTCAGTTTAAAATGGTCTTTGGACAGATGCTGACTGAGACTTACGGTGGAACATGCCCACCTGGCAGTGCACCCACAGCCTGCAAAGCACAGGGGAGGCCAGGTCAGCCAGAAGATTTGAGAAGCTGGATGGGAGAAACAAAGACACAAAGAAAAATAGAAGTAGCCAAGGCCTGCTTCTTGAGCAGAACTGAATAGCCATGTCACTCCCCAAGACTGAGGCCTGTCCTTGGCAGTGGGGCTGAGCCCGTGGGCCCCGTCCTGGGTGGGTGGGCCCTCGCCTGCCTGGATGACTGACAGCTCTTGGAGGCCTCGGGCTTTCTGGGTGCCCCACACCACTGTGGCCTGCACACAAGCAGCAGCTGGGGCGAACTCAGGGTCGTGATCAGGAAAACCCGGGGATCCAAGGCACATCCTCCAGACTTTGGGGTTCCAGGAGCCATGGAAACACTCCCTCCCATCCATCCAATGAATACCCATCCGTCTACTGTGGGCAAAGACGAATGCCCGGCCAGTGGGAATGGAGGCTTGGTGGGAGGTGGAGAGCGGGGTCTGAGCCCAGGCAGGAGACCTGCATGGCTGCTCTTAGTGACATCAATGCAATTACTTGTGGAATACAGCAAGGACTTGATGCTACTGTTACCAATTCTCACTAACAATGACAAGACTTACTTCATATACAAGATGGTATGCTTGCACTGCTTCCTTACACCACAAACCTTGGTTTCTGAAGACACTAATGTGATTACTTACCGTTAAATATGTATATTTGTATATCTAATCATTTCAAAACAACAATTCCCCTCTTATTAGCAACCAAAAGACTACTGAATGTAGTTTAGTTTTTATTTGTGGTTGTTTTTTGTCCCTGTCCCACTTGGATTACACAAATTGTTTCAAAGTCACTCAGAACAATTCTCTGTGAGGTTATGCCATTAATTTTGTATACAGAACTGTTTGTTTCTGTTTGTTTTCTGTTAGGAGATGGCTTTTATTCTTTTTTTGTTTAATTTGGGTTTTCAGTTATGTACAATGTTTACACGGTTCCAAAGCCAACTTATGAAACAAGGTACATTGTTTGGTTTGTAAAAAATCAATCAATCAATCAATCAATCAATCAATCAGAAAATAAAATGGTCTTTGGCAAAATGGCCCCATCAAGTCTAATAACAACTGTGATTTTTTGACACGTCCCAGCTCCATTCAGGACACAAGTACATAGAGATTGGTGGCCACACAAACGGCTTCATTCTTATGAAGTTATGCTTTGAATCCAGATAACTGCTCTTCTAACAGAGGACACCGAGGGGACTCAGAAATGCGCTACTAATTTGAACGCTTTCACAAGCTCAATTCTACTTTCATTTTCACATATGCAATCACATCCTTTTTCAGATTCCAAAGCACATGTGACTGAGGCCTGAACACGGAAAAATACTTTAAGCCATCAAAGCGATTTTTTGGATCCTGAAAAATGCTTTAAAAAACAAAACAGGCAACACAACTTGATAAGCCTTTTAAGTTAAAGCATAAAAAAAGAAAAAAGGCACCATCTCATTTTGAGGAAAAAATGTCAGCTCAGAAGTAATTTTTTAAAATGGAAACAACTATTGAGAGAGAAAATAACTGAAGTAATGCCTACTTTTATGGTAAGACAAAATCTTAAAATCTACCTACGGCTGACATCTATAACATTTTCTTTATTTGTGCATAGACGAAGCAGCATTGTGATATTAAGATGAGACACACTTTCTACAACATCAACATGTTTTAATTTTACAACAAAATAGCTTAGTCATGGTCTTCTGACTTTCATAATACGAAAAGTTAACTCATCACGATGGTTCTATTTATATAAAGTTAAGAACCAGTGTCCCTAATCTATGGTGCAGAGGGTGAAATAGTGGGTCCCTTGAGGTTATCGATTGCAGAGGACAGATGAGAGCCTGCTGGGAATGTTCTACATTTTGAACGAGGTTGTGGTTAAACACACACACACACACACAGATATGTAAAATACAATATTTTACATATATATGTATATAAATAATCAAGTTATATGCTTAAAATGTGTACACTTTACTGTATAAAGTTAAACCTCAATAAAAAAAAATTACCTTGTCACCAGCATTCTGAAGTTGCTTACGTAAAGACATCACTTCTTGTTTCAAAGCCTCCTTTTCCTGCTGAGTCACTCGGAGGTCGGATTTGATCCGGGACATCTGCAGGTTTACGTTCTGTAGTGTGTCCTCTAAACTCTGAACCTGCATCACGAAAACAATCTTACACTGTGACCCAGATCCTTGTGGTCTCACCTGTAGCACGTCCAGGTATGATGAACGAGCTAGGACAAGATAACAGCTAGATCCCCTCTGTTTCTACTTATTATATCCAGTGCTCTACAGTGGTCTGTGAAAACCCAGGACATTATCTATATTTATAGGATGTTACATTACATTTATGATGACGATGAACTATGCCTGGAGTAGGTATTGCTGATACATTACCAAGTGATATCTTACAGAACCAATGAGGACCAACTGGCACCACAAAAGCTGGTTTTACCTAATTTTATAGAAATTGTAAGAATTTCTATAAAAGTTTTAGCCTGTGGTGTTGGTTTGTAAAGGGCCTCTTAGATAAAAATAAGAATATATACTGGCAGAACCCTAGCCTACCATGTAACATTTCAATTAAAAAAATTAAATTGGTAAAAGGAATGCTGACAGATGTCTTTAGAATAGGGCATGCACCTGCCTTAGAAATTCCATTTCTAAATTTGGAACAAGCAGTCCTTTTTACACATTATTCACAAGCTTTTATAAATAAGTAACCTCATAATTATAAGATAATCTCATAATAATGAAATTTGAGGGAAGTATTCAAATTATTTCACTAAATTGTAAGTATGTATCAACTACTAGTCAAACTAAATCCGAGTCCTTTTAGGCCACGGGCATTCTTTCCACTGGGGGTTCTGTTGGAAGATGCAGGAAAACATGGCTGTGCAGACGAAGCACGAATTGTCCACACACCTTTTCCTGGGAAGCCGCTAGTTGCAACTTCAAGCTTTCACTCTGCTGTTCCCAAGACTTCTGTTCTTGCTTTATAGCAGCAATTCTGCGCTCTAGATGACTGGATTTTGCCAACTGTTTCAGGGAAAGACAAGAGGTAACAGGGCATCTTTGCAAACACATCTAGTCTCAATTTACATGCCTCCATTTACACTGCAAAGATCAAGTACCATTTATTCACATGGTCCTGTAAAAATTTATTTACAGGAAGAGCAGAGCAAGGCAGAAGAAAGTTTTCCCAACCGACTCGCTTTCTACCTATAATTTGGAGGAGTGTCTTCTCTTTGGGCATTTCCATTTTCCTTTCTCATGGCCTCATATTTTGCAGGTTAGAGATGGTAGACTGGGAGGCAATGAGAAATCTCAAGAGTGTCCCATAATAGGAAAATACAGAGTACCTACTAAGGCAGGCGGGACAAAAGCAGTGTTTTGGATTTGCTAGGGAAAACACTATAGAAAAAAAAAAAGTGTCTATGTACCAGATCTCATATTATTAAAGGCAACAATATATTATCTATGCTATATATAAGTACATAGTGATATCTTTATTTATTTATTTTTTAAAATATATTTTATTGATTTTACACAGAGAGGAATTGAGAGGAACAGAGAGTTAGAAATGTCGATGAGAGAGAAACATCGACCAGCTGCCTCTTGCACCCCCACCCCCCCCACCCCTACTGGGGATGTGTCTGCAACCAAGATACATGCCCTTGACCGGAATCGAACCTGGGACCTTTCAGTCCGCAGGCCGACGCTCTATCCACTGAGCCAAACTGGTCCCGGCCATAGTGATATCTTTAAATAATATTATAGATGAAGTAGCATGGCTACATATTAAAATGAGACAGACTTTATATTACTGTATTTAATGATATAGTTATTAGATAACTACTTTAAACTCCTGTTAAAATCATGGCCTGGGGAGCTCTAAGGTCACAGAACGCCAGCTGAAATGCTATTCCAGGAGCTTCCGGAACAATCAGGCCTGTGTGCTGAAGGCACGGAGAAATGCTCATTATGTTGCACACTATACAATGATGGCAAAAAAGTCATCTTATTTTTACTACCTTATCAACGCAGCTGTTCAATTCTTCGCTCAGAGCTTCCTTTTCTTTCTGCAGTTTTTCATTGTAGCTGAGAACACTAGAAATTTTTTGCTGTAAGTCAGAGAGATCGGGACATCTGCGCAACTGGAAGAGATAAACAAACGAGCCCCCTCACATCTCATGCCGATATTTATACAAAGGTATTTATAAACGGGGCATTTTCAGGGCTGCTGCTATTTCCCTGCCTGTGGATATTTCAGAGGACACATCAACTCTTGGGGACTATAATTAACATTAACAAAATGTTCCCTGCAAATAGTTTCTCTCCATTCTCCAAGGCACTGTTGAGATGTCTGTTCAGATAGATTCAGCCAGACAGACATTGATAAATAATGGCCCCAGCTTTCTGTTTTATGTTCAGGGTAAAATAAATAACATACTGACATCCTGTCATCAATCTAACTTGTGTACATCTAGCACAATACATTTTCCTCATGCTTTCTTAAATAAATCATTTTCAAAAATCTCAGTCAAGGTTATGGAATTGGTATGCACCAAGTACAATGCATTAACACAAGAACAAGGTGAAAGACAAAACGTTATTTATTTATTTTTTTAGCTCGTTCCATATCCCTTCCCTTTGGAAGATGCCCAAACCCACTTGCTTAGGAAAATGTTGTGGTGTGGACACTCTGGCTTCCTCCTTTCCACTTCATGGAATCAGGAAAACCCAAGACTTTTGTTTCTCGTCAGCATCAGCCTTAGCACTATGGACATTTGGGGCCAGACAGTTCTTTGCTGTGGGGTCTGCCCTGTGCACTGTAGGGTGGTTAACAGCATGTCTGGCTTTACCCATCAGATTCCAGTAGCACAGCCCCCCCCCCCTGGTCGCCCCCCCCCCCGTCCCCCACACATCAGTAATAAAAAACACCCCAGACATCACTAAACGCCCAGGGTGGGGGAGCAACCTCCCCCCCTCCCCCACCACTGCTTTGAAGAGACTGGTTTCTTACACTTAACTCGTTTCCACAGTTCATGCATTTTCCATTTCCCTCCACTTCACTTGGCTTCCCAGTTTTCAATGCTTTATTATCATTATGATTTTATGGCCATCTTTCTACTTCCTCCCTTAAGTTCTTTTCCATTTAGCTTTAGGAATATGATGACAAAATAGTCTTAGAGGGCTGACTTTGGCCTTCCACTGGCAACAAATCCAGCATACCTTACAAATCTAAACACGCCAGGAGGATGTAGGGAAATGCGTTTTAAAGCACCGGGGCACTGGCTTAAGGAAGGGCCTCTCCTTTGTTCACCGCCTCGCCTCCCCAGCCCAGAGCCCTCACAAAGCCTGCTAGGCGTCTACGAACAGCCTGGTGGTTTCTGCTGACACTGTTCATGTTTCTTTTCGGTGCAACAGTTAACAAAAGTGCTCTGTGCATGAGGAGTCATTATGTCCCACAGAGCAGCCAGTGCTTCCCAGGTCCAAGCTGTGTGGCTGACACCGTTCCGCTCTGTGATCCAAAGCAGTGCCACAAAACAGCTTCCTGCCAAAGGGAGACGGGGCTCTCCGCTTTTCCAGGGCACAGTTTATGTCAACGCTTCCGTAAAATATGTGCCTTGAAGAAGTGTGGAATGATGTCCTCATCAAGCTCCCTTACTCCCAGCTCTGCTCTTCTCCTCCTGATCTCTAACTTAGCAAAGTCACAAAGCACACATTTCCCCTGCTATGGATTTGGAAGCCATCATTGTCATCTTAGAGGTTGAACAACAGGCCAGCTTTCAAAGGTAACGGAGAAAAGTGTGCCCATCTTCATTTGGATGAAGTTGGTAATAAGAGCTTTGGGATACTTATCCACCAGAGAAGGGCCCTACAAGTTTTGACTTCTGCAGTGTTTATGGGGACTGACAGCTTCTGTTATGGCAGAAGAGAGGTGCTTGGCACAGTAGCATCTGACTTGAAGAGGTTCTATGAAAGTCCCCGTTAGGCAACAGTATTGTGTGAGGGACACAAATTCCCTGAGAATTTTATAATTTTACTAGTGACTGGGAGCCAGCTGTCCTGGATTGTGAGAGCGATGTCTGACATTTCCCTCAAGGGGTCCCAGATTGGAGAGGGTGCAGTATGGGCTGAGGAAACCCCCCAAACCCCGTGCACGAATTTCATGCACTAGGCCTCTAGTTTATTAATAAACTGGGCAGGGACGCACACAGGCAGCACTACATCCCAGGCCAGGGACACAGGCAGGACGCACATAGGCAGTGACGCACCTCTGCCGGGGCACCACTGCTTCTGCTGGGGGCTGCCCCAGGGCTGGCTGCGTGGAGGCCCTCCTGGTGGTGGCACTCCCCATCCACCCGCTCCTGCTGTACATGACTCCTGCTGATGGGTCACGATGTTACAGTGTCCGGGACGATTTGCATATTCCTCTTTTATTATAGAGGATTAGGAAATCAAGACTGACAGGAGTCACTTAGAGGTCAACGTGAACAGAACATTCAGTGGTAGGGACACCGTTATGCTCATAAAATGAACAGGTACAAGAGAGAATTTTATAATCTAAGGAATATAAAGTAATCCATTTGTGAAGCAAATTAAATAAAATATTATAAATCAGTTTTGCTCAAGCAGAAAGATTCCTGTACTCACTGAAAATTTCAGAACCTATAATAATAAAAGTATAATGTGCAAATTGATGAACAACTGTACAGCAGAAAGACCATCTGGACGACTATGCTATGACACGCACCGGCACCAGGCCAGCCAAGGCAGGTGCAATGCGATTGGTCGGGGGCCCCACTATCCACCCACAATTGCCCTGCGGAGGGAGGATCAGGTCCCAGGCTAGCGACACGGTGGTAGGTGTTCGAGGCTGGCCTGGGTGGGTAGTTAATAAAGTTATAAGAAAAAAGTTACCTTCTTTTTAGACAAATTTCTATTACTTTTTCATCTGGTTTGGAGAAAGTAGAACACCAACTTTCTTAAACTGAAGTGGCTGTGGTCATTTACAGCAACAGAATTTCAGTCTACGACATATATAGGTTACAAACTAGAACTAGAGATTTAGCAGTAAAAGCCCTTAAAAATAGACTTGTATTGCAAGCCTTCAACTTTACCAAGCAATGAGCTAGCTGACAGGGTTCAGTGAAAAGGACACATGGTGGCTGGCAAAGCCAGGCCCTCAGGTACACACTGTCCACAGAGGCTCCCCGGGCCGCCCTGAAGCAGCATCTTACCTGCTTCGTTTTCTCCAGTTCACCTTTGAGAAGGAGGTTTTCCTGTTCCACTCTGTGCATCTGTATTTTCACTTCAGAGAGTTCTGCCTCCAAAGAAGACACTAAAGTGGAGGACTAAGAAAAACATTGAAAAGTTAACAGACACATTAATTTAGCCTAAAGGAACTTACTAGGCCACAAAAGGCAGCGTTAGGGGCACAGCAGCACAAATTCAATAACACACTTTTGTTTTTAAATAAGGGAAAGTTTGCTTAGAAAGTTACAGAAGTAGCTGAAACCGGTTTGGCTCAGTGGATAGAGCGTAGGTCTGTGGACTGAAAGGTCCCAGGTTCGATTCCGGTTAAGGGCATGTACATTGGTTGCGGGCACATCCCCGGTGGGGGGTGCGCAGGGGGCAGCTGGTCAATGTATCTCTCTCATCGATGTTTCTAGCTCTCTATCCCTTTCCCTTCCTCTCTGAAAAATCAATAAAAAAAATAAAAAATAAAAAAAAGTTACAGAAGTAGGAGAAAGACCCTTGGTGCATAGGAGAAAGAGAGAGATGTGCCTGTTGAGGGACAAACGAGGAAGGAGAGGCATGGATGTGCTTCAGGATATATATCTATATCTATAACTATATATCTAATATATATATATATATATATATATATATACACACACACACACACACACACACACACACACACATATATATATATATATATATATATATATATATATAGAGAGAGAGAGAGAGAGAGAGAGAGAGAGAATGAACGAGAACCAATGACACCATTTTATGGCCATTCATCCTTATACTGAATATAACCTTTTAAAAGGTTCTCTCAAAAGGCATGAACATGATTTTTAGGGTAGTTTTTGAAGATTTTCTTCAAAAGTTACTGTAAAATAACTCTCTCTTTTGGAGACATACTTGAGGCTATAAAGATCGTGTTTCTCAAATTTTTGCTTATTAATTTTAGTGTCTATCAGTAGGTTTTGTCTACAATTACTACTCTGGTGTTTGCCTACTAATGACTTTCTATTTTTTTCTACGTTTATTAATTGGAATTCTACTCTAAGGAAGACAATACGTCTTCCCCTTTTATTTATTCAGTTTTTTATATTGGTGTGGTTATATAGATATTTATTTTATCCTATGTTTATAAGCTTATTTATTTTATATTTTACTATGATTACTTTGTTGCTGAAAACTGTTCCATCTTTGGCCTAAAGGAGGTTGGGCCCTGTGTCCTTTCAACATGCCCCATCTTTTTTGAGCATTTTTTTCTTCCTGGCACCACGAAATGTTCCAGTCTCATCTTGAATTTTCTTTGTCCCCCAGCCTTGGAATCAATCATTTTTCCAAGGAGCCCTGGTTCCTTTTATAGGAGAAAGGTGTTTAGAAACCAAGATCTGGGCCATCCATAAATACACATCTATATATCTCTATCTATTCACATGCCGGTAATCACACTGCTTTCTTCTTAAATATATTTTATTGAGTTTTTACAGAGAGGAAGGGAGAGGGATAGAGAGAAACATTGATGAGGGAGAAACATCGATCAGCTGCCTCCTGCACACTCTCTACTGGGGATGTGCCTGCAACAAGGTACATGCCCTTGACTGGAATCGAACCTGGGACCCTTGAGTCTGCAGGCAGATGCTCTATCCACGGAGCCAAACTGACTAGGGCCACACTGTTTTCATTACTAAGACTTTATGTACAAGGAATGTAACACAGTGTAAGAACTTCTTTTATTTGTTGGGGTTTCCTCCACGAAGGCTGCGGGGTGGCTGCAGGCCGTACCTGCACTTTGCAGCACTCCAGCTCCTCCTCCAGAGCAGACCTCTCCTCTTCCCACTCCTCCACCACCCCGCACCCTGGCTCCTTCTCCTGGCTCAGCGCTTCCGCCAGACGTTGATTAAGCTCTTGCAGTTCTCTCTGATTTTGAGAGTTCTTTTGGCTAAGTTCCGTCTTCTCCAAATCCAACTGTTGGTTTTTGGTTTTTAATTCTGAAATCTAATTAAAATTGAAATAAGTTTTAAGAACTAGTTACCCTACTTCTGCTAAAAAACAGATTTAGAGACTAATTGGTTTTCCCCTCAATATGTAGAGGAAGTTACACACACACTTAATAACAGAAATAATACAGAGAAACTGTTACACATCCAGCCAGTTCAGAAATGTGTGAGGAAAGGATAGATCCTCAAGTCCAAATCCACGCCACATGAGTAGCCATGGTTCACAGCTGGATACATGTGTATCCCTCCAGATTGCTTTCTATGCATATAACAAAACCCGTACACTGTACATGGAGAGATTTCTTTCTTTATAACAAAAATTGGAATCATTTCAGATGTTTGGACAGCCTGTTTTCCCACTTACCCTATCTTACAGACCCATCTTTTAAATCCGTGCATTCAGAAACCACCATATGCTACATATTTTAGTGGCTGTCGGGTACTCCAAGGATCAAGACATTGCATAATGCATTGAATTTTAATGATGAAGAAATAAAGCAATCTTACACATGTTAGCATTTTGCATTTAGGATCTTTTAGTTTTTTAGCAGTGGGGCTGTTGGGTTAGGAGGCATGCATATACATTACTATTTTTATAGATATCCCCAACACGTCTTTCTCACAGTGCTACCAACTTACAGTTCTACCAGCTAGGGAAGAGCACCTTCATTTCCTCACCACCTCTTTTATTTTGATGAAATCACTTTTTAATTTTTGCTAATCAGAAAAAAGAAACTCATTTAATTTGTACTTCTCTAATCACTAATGAGGCTAACCATTTTTTTTATATGTTGTATTCTTTTTTTTCCCCCCCTGTGACTTGACTATTCATATCAGTTATTCATTTTTCATCTGGGTTTTCCCATCTATATATATAAAAGCCCAGGAACCAGACGGCGGAGTGACCAGAACAACTGGTGGCTATGACACACACTTTGGCAGCCAACCAGGCCCAGATCGCCTCCCCCTCCCACCTTCTTGATTGACCCTAACACCCTGATTGGAGGTGGGACTGGCACCAACTGCCTGTGGCCCCTCCCCCCATTGGCCCGGCCCAATCTGTGCACGAATACGTGCACTGGGCCTCTAGTTTGTTTATGAGTGTACAAAATACATTTTGGACGTTAACACCTTGTCTACTCTTTTCCCAGGATGCCCTGACTGTTCCAGACAGGTTTTTAAATGGCCTTTACCCACACAATTGCATGTTGTGAGACTGTACAAATTGGGCATTGACTTGCACAAGTTATCTAAATAAATCATAATTCTGTTAAAAGATACTAATTGGTAATCTGTATCTGTGAAATTTTGTACTTAACTTTCTGCTTTCAATCCTGGTGAGAAAAGAGGAAGGAGCTAACAGGTGCAACTAACTGTCTGAAGGATAGAACCAGTATGACATGGGTTTGGTTTTACAAGTATCACCTACCCATTCCCACTGACATAAAACTTGTATCAAGCACTCAGAGCCAAGAAATGATAATACATTATTAAACCCATAAGAAATAGAAACTTAGAGTCATCATGAGGTGAGTCTCCATTTTGAGTCTCCGAATTAAAAACCTTACCACCACTCGCTACATGTTATTCCAATAGCATATCCTATAAATCTGTAAATTTCAAATAACAAAAGGAAATTTCAGACTCAAGTAACACTGGGAAGTATGAAATACCTCCTTACCTGTTTCTTTAAATCTTCGACCATCTGCTGAACTGTGGCTTTTTCCTGTTTTATAGTTTCTATATTTTGCCTAAAGGGACAATGAAAACATAAGTAAGAGTTAGATCTTTAAATGTTGAGGTAAAATAGTTTCAGTCCCTGCAAAAATGCCTTCAGAAAACATAAGTATATGTCTTACCACATTTCTTCCTGAGATCCATTTAATTTCTCCAACTGCAGGTTAGAAATGCTATCTTCTTCACTTAGAGTAGTAATTTCATTTCTCAAAATAGAATTTTCTTCTTGAAGCTTCTCAGATTCGTATCTGAAGCAGAGATTTGAAAAGCAGTTACAAGGCGTCTTTGGAAAAATACTTTCTAGTAACTTCCAATGAAACAAGTATTTCATGCCAGTTAAAACGAGAAGTCTAAATTAGTAGTCTCTGTTCTTAGAAATCAAACTATAACATTTTGACTCATTTCTTATGGGAAGTGAGACTCTCACTAAGGCATGAGGGAAGTGTGGCTAAAACACTTGCCCGTGGAGACAGAGGGAGACGCGATGCCCACTCTGGTAGCTGAGCCTGTCTGTGGCGAGCCCACTGCTCTGAGCAAATAACTCCTTCACCTCAGTCTCCAGGCCTGCCTGCTGCCAAGGGACATACACCTTATTACTCAGTTGTACGAGCTTTCGTTTCAGGCCCTGAGGTACCCAGAGAAAGTTAGTTCACTACATGAGTGAAAGGGCCATGCTGAAATATACACAATGTTTACTTTGTGATTTTTTTTTCCATTTCATTACATCATGGTTTTTAGAACGGAAAATCATCTGAAGTAAGAAGAGGAAAAACTACATCCAGAATTAAATTATTTTGTTTCATATCATTAAGATATTTCAGACATGAGGCAATCTTTTACACATTTTTTTTTTTTAAAAACCAAATTGGCTAGAAGACAACTGCCAACATAGTCAAGTGAGCAGTGGTTCAAGTCTTTTTGTTGTCGTCTTTATTTATTAGAATCTGACAGCTCCTCATTTAAATTATATGTTCTAAGAGAAGTTTCTGTTATTTACGAAACATTGGCATGTATCTTCAAGTAGCATCAGGGAAAAAAACTATAAGCTACAAAACACATCTATCCTATATTATTATAAAAAGAGAGTCATCTACCAAGCAAGTTAATAATATACACAAAAGGCATTCATCCTCCTATAGCATGTTTCATCAACATGAGGAAGATAACATTTAGCAACCACAAAAGTTCTACCCGTCCAAAAGAAGGGCTAGAAAAGAGTTAAAGACTCGACACACATGGACGAAGCACGTGGTTAAACAGCAAACACGCTCCATTATCAGCTTTCACGCGTCAACGAGCGACATTTATTTCCTACAGAGGAAGGGGGTGCCTCCTAGGCAAGGTTACTCTACTGGTTAAGGTGACAGATGCAGAAGGAAGTCTAAGGCACGGCTCTCTTCTCGGAGACTAGCAGGTTAGTTAGTGTCTCTAGGCACAGCAAGCAGCGGGAGTTAGAGGTGGCCAGGCGCTCGGCGGGAGTCCGTGGGTGTTAGGAGGTGCATACGTTACCTCAGGAGCTCCACCTTCTGCTGCATCTCACTGCACGTGACCTGCAGGTCGTGCATCATGGCCTTCAGCTCTTCCTCCTTCCCTCCTTGAGCGGAGGCATCTCTCTGCTTCACTAAATCAGCGACTCTCTCCCTCAACTTCCTAGTCAGCTCCTGCAGCCTTTGTTTCTCCAGCTCTAGCTCCGCTATCACGGCCTGGCGCTGGACGTGTCTGTGCTGGAGGCCGAGGAGGGTGGTGTTTTCCTCGATGATCACCTGGCTCTGTTCTCCGGGCTTTTCTCCGCGGGTCTGGACTGTTCTGTGCAGCCAGGCGATTTCGCGGGCTTGGACTGTCCCCAGGATCTGGGTGTCCTCCTGCTCCAGGTACTGGTTTTCTCGATAGTGTTCTTCTATAACCCGGCATACGTTTAAAGCCTTTGGGGAAGGTGCTTCCAGAGTCTGATGGAGCGCAAGTACCTTCCCGCCGGGCCCGGGCTTGGGGGCCGGGTCCTCCAACGGGGCTTCCCACAGGGAGGAGCAGCCGCACCGGAGCCCTGCCCCTTCCTGCAGCCTCTCGATCATGCTTTCCAGCCTCAGCACCACGACGTGCAGCTCCTCGTTTTCCCTCTGGACCTCGTCGTAGCCCTTCTCCAGGCTGAGGAAGGTCTCGGCCACTTCTTCCGCCCTCCTCAGCTCGTCCTGCAGCCGGAAGACCTCGGCGGCCAGCTCCTTGTTGTTCTCCAGGGCCTCCTCGTAGTGCGCCTCCAGCGCCCGCAGCTCCTCCAGCAGACGGTCGTGGTCCCTGCCCGCGTCCTCGTACAGCCGCCTGCACGGGGGAGAGGCCTCGGCGATCCTCTCCAGCACGCCCAGCTTCTTCTTCAGCACGGACACGTCCAAGAGCAGCTCCTGCTTCTTCTCGGAGGCTCGATCGCAGTCTGCGCGCAAGGCCGTTAGCTGTTCCCGAAGCTGAGAGACCTGACTCTTCAGGTCCCAGGTCTCCGTCCGGGTCTCGTCGCTGTTCTCCAGCTCGGAAAAACTCCCCAGGGACGCCTCGGACGCCTCTGCTCGGGCCTCCTCCCGTCTCCGAACAGAGCTCGTCCCCGTGCTCCCCCGATCCCGGGCCTCGTCGCCTGGCAGGTCGCTCGGGACGCCTCCTGCCCGCTTGCCTCGGTGTTTACACGGTTCGGTTGGTTCCACAGAATTTCCAAAGAGCCCGCCGGTGGCCTCCTCGAAGCAAGAGGACGCGACGGACCCTGGCTCCAGCTTCTGCAGCCTCTGCTGCAGTCTGGAGATTTCGGCGGCCATCCGCACGTTTTCCTTCACGGCCTGCTCGTGCGCTCTCTGCAGGCTCAGGAGGACATCTCCGTTCTCCTCCAGCAGCTGCTCTCCTTGCTGGAGCAGGGACAGGGCTCCGCTGCTTCCCTCGGCCTCCTCCCCTCCCGCGTCCTGGCCGCCATTCGGAGGCCCGGAGGGAGGCGATGCCACCTGCTGCAGCTCCTTAATCTTATCCTGAAGCCGGGCGATCTCCGCGCTCAGCTCCGCCCGCTCCCGATCTGCGTTCTCGCAGGTCGCCCTGTGGACGCCCTCCAGGGCCAAGAGCTTGGACATCATGTCCTGCCTCTCCTGGTCACGTTCTGCCTGCAGCCTCTCCAGCCGCTGGCTGGCCAGCTGCTCCGAGGCGCCCGCCTGGCGCAGGGCCTGCTCGCGGTCCTCCCGCTCTCTCTGGTGAGCGCGCTGCAGCTCCAGGAGCTGGCTGGACAGGAGGCTTTGCTGCCTTCCGGACGCCTCTCTCAGGTCTTCCAGGTCTTTGAGCAGCTGCTCTCTCTCAGCAACCACGCCACCGAGGTGCTCTTTGTACGTCTTCTCCAGCACCTCCCTCTCCTGGGTCAGGACCAGGGCCGTGGCCGCCTCTCTCCGCAGCGCCTCCTGCAGCCGCTCCTGGGCCTCGGCGCCCTCCTGCGCCAGCTCGTCCTTCTCGAACTGCCACTGGGCCCGCTCCTCGCGCTGCTGCTCCCGCAGCTCCGCCAGCTCGCGGCGCAGGTGCCTCTCCAGGCCCTGCAGCGCGCTCTCACACCTCTCTGTGACCGTCTGACACTCGGCCCGAAACTGGGCTTCTATCTGACAGGTTCTTCTAGTACACTCAGTCTCCACTCTCCCCCTGGATGGGGTCAACACACAGCATTACTGAAACTGCCGGCAACTCCGGAAGCAAACAAACAAACATTCCCCACGCACAGGAGCGGCTGCCAAGCAAACACGTCCAATACGTTTCTAGAAATCGTTTTCCCGTCTCCCTCTGTGATTCACTTATACGGAGAAGGGATGTCCTGTCTGAGAGCCAAGGCCAGCAGCCATACTGGGAAAGGCTCCGTACTTACTTCTCTCTGCATTTACAAGAAAAATGTGGAAAGGGGGAAAAAAATGCTTTGGCATTCTCCTGGATGCCTTTGGTGTTTAGATTTTTAACTAAACACTGAAACTGATATTTCACGGTACATGATCAAATGCATTGGTAGCCCCCTAACTTGGGAAATAGAATTTGTTTTTCCTTTTAATAAAGTATGTATTGAAGGATAATAATCATGTAAGCCACAAGAATTACAGTCCCTTCTGTTTCTGCCTCGTATTGAATGAGGTAGCACTGAGGCCATCAGAGTGTGAAGCGCCAAGGCCTCCTGTGTGCCTGAGAGTTAGGTGAGCACACAGCAGAGTTCCATAACTCTGGGAGGAAGTGTGACTTTGCCCAGAATGTCGTTTATAAATAGCCTTTCTCAGAAGACAACAGGACAGAATGAGGAAGGGCCCACATTTGCAATAGTCTTATCCTTACCGGTGACCTTAAAGCATACACGTCTGAGCTCCAGTCGGGTGGCTCAGTTGGTTGGAGCATGGTCCCGTTACACCAAAAGGTCTGCAGGTTCGATTCCTGGTCAGGGCACATACCTAGCTTGTGGGTTTGATCTCCAGTCAGGGTGCATATGGGAGGCAACCAATTGATGTTTCTCTCTCACATGGACATCTCTCTCTGTATCTCCCTCACCCTCTCTAAAAGTCAATAAAAACATATCCTTAAGTGAGGATTAAAAAAATAAATAAATACAAGTCTGTCGTCAATCATACTTTCCCCTTTCAAAAGAAAAAGTTTCAATAACCCCAAGACGGTTCATGTCTGAACAACGGCAAAACAAGCTGAAAAACTGAAAAAGCGTTTCAAGGGGCAATTTACTAGAGTCTGATTTACTAGCGTCTCCTCCTCTGCCTGGAACTTCTGGTGCCGGGGACGGACGGCAGCCCAGGCCGCTCCATTTCCCCCTTTTTCTTACCTTTCTTCCTGCAGGTCCCTTTGGTGTTTCTCCGAGAGCTCTTTCCGCAGCTCCTCCTTCTCGAGGGCGTGCCTCTCCGCTAGGCTTCTCAGCTGCTCCTGGTGGAACTGCTCCAGCTCCTGAGTCAAGCCCCTCACCTTCTCTTCTGTCCAGGCAGGGCCGTGAAGAAGGCCCTCCCTCTCTCGGGCGAAGCTCTCCTCCGCCTGCCCCAGTCTGTCCTTGAGCTCGGCTTCATGTTCCAGCCTCAGCGTCTCCTGCAGGAGGGACTTCTCCTCGTCCCACCTCAGCTGCAGCTGCTTCTTCTCCTCCTCGTGTTTGCTGCTGGTTGTATGTTGTGCCTCCTGGAGCACCACCGCCTGGCCTCGGAGTTCTGCGATTTCATGGTTAAGGTCGCTTATTTGTTTCTCCAGGACGTGCACTTCATTCTCATACCTTTGCCTCATGGTCTCCTGCTCCTTTTCACAGGCAGCCTTGGCTTCGTCGAGCTGCTTTTCGTAATGGTGCACCTGAAGTCAGAAAGCAAAACCACCGCAAGGTCACTCAGCTCCAGGCTGTGGAAATGTGATGGGGCAGAAGTACTTCCTTCCCTACAATACATCCCTCAGCAGTCCCATTTCGTTTTAAAGTAACAATTAAAAAACACATTAAATAAGATATATGTACATCAGGCATGGTTTGCCTTCCTTTATTTTAACTTGGCTCAATTGTATTAGTTTCTGAACAACTCTATTAAAACTGACTAGACCTTCCCCTAGATGCCATTGGTCATCCCAGGCATCCTTTCCTACTGTGAACTTAGGGGCTTCACACACTTAATTAAATTCACATATTTATTGAACACCTATCAGGCACTCTGCAAGCCTCATGGGGACACAAAGATGGGTAAGACATAGTCCCTGCCACCAAGGAGAAACCTGTCTAGACATGGTTATGACAAACAGAGAACAGTACTACGAGACAGAATTAAAAAAAAAATTATATATGTATGGTACAGAAGAAAGAGCAACAATGTAACCAGGGGATTCAAAGGAGGGAAAAAGCATCTTTGGAGGGGTAGTTCAGGAGTGGGTTCAGCAAGAGGAAAACATTTTATATAAACTCTGAAGGGTAAGTAGACTTTCAAGAGAGAGAGAAATAGCATAGCATGTGATAGCATGAGCAAGAGAGCACAGTGTGATGAAAAACAGAAAACCACCTGGTTTGACTGGCAGATAGGATAACTCCAAGGAATGGTAAAAGAGAAAAATGAAAAATGTAAATTGAAGCAGCAAGATTAAGGAAGGGGTTTGGAGGCCAATATTCAGAACTTGTAACATAATTTAAGAGATATTGTTATAGTAAAGGGCTTTTTTGTTTTTTTATTTTATCAAGACATTTTTTAACAAGTTGAAAATGTAATGGCCTTCGAGTTCTATGCTTGCAGGAAAATGAAGATCTTACATTTTGGAGAAACTCTGAGGAAAAGGTCTCACCTTTGGCCTATGAAACCATCCTGAGGAACTTGGGTTCCCGGTAGCCACCAAGATACAAGAGAAAATATATAGAAAATGCTGCTGTATGAGAACAAAGAACTAAGAATCTACTACATGCAAAAGCCTATCAAAGAGTTAGAGGACAGGATTGGTAAGGACTTACTTTATCTTCAAGCTCCAGTCTTAGGTGACACAAGTCCCTCTGATGATGTTCTTTCATCTGTTCGATGACCAGCTCTGCCTCGAGGCTCATATTCAGTGGATTGCAATCTTCAGAACCAAGCCCTGAAAATACATGAGATCTACTGACCCTGATCTTTCAGTAACACAGTTGGCACCAGAGGAGGAATATCCATTGAATAAAGGAATAATTTTAGCCTAAATTGCCACAGATGAAATCTACTAGGAAACTGTAGAAGGCAAGAGAAGTCTCTTCTGTTTTTGAGCATTAGGGAAAACAAGAGAAACATGAAGGTGAGAAGATTCTGTCACGTACAGTCAATGCACCAAACCTTACAGAATCCATCTTTTTGGACAGTAGATGTGGAAACTCTCTCCTAAACAGCATTGTCTCCTAACAAAAGTGCTGTGGACTGAAGTAGTTTGGTCAAATCAACCAGCCTTCTCTCCATCCAACAAATACCTAGCTACAAATTAGGTAGGGAGAGAGGTCCAAGATGGTGGCAGAGTAGATGGAAGGTACATGGACCTCCTCCTAGGACTAAACTGGAATTAAAATTAAAATATAGAGCAATCAACTATAATAACCAAACAAAGACTATTTGAACAGAAGTCTTATAACCAAGGATTTACACTGGTAGTAAGGGAGGAAACATGAAAAGGCCTGGCCCTGTTCTCAAGGGCTGCAGCTGAGAATCTGGTGGGATATCTCAGCTGCAAAGGTCCCCTCTGAGGAGCATGGGGTCTCAACCTCATACTAGACTCCCCATCCAAGAGCACCAGAGCCAGCAAGAGGCATTCACATAACATCAGGAGGGATTCTATCCACCAGGGAGAGACAGGAGTCTGCTATTTGGGACACAGGTGCCCTCCTAAAGGGATAACACACAAAATTTCGTTTGCAGCCACTCAACCTGCATACAGGTGGAGGGAGGGCAGAGCATACTAAAATCGTGTGAGGAGAGATGGGAGGGTTGTGGTTCTGGGGAAAGGGATGATGGAACAGTTTCCAGAATTCCTGTAATGAGTCACTTTTCCACAATGGCATCTTCCCACTTTTCCATCTTTCTTGGGTGGAGCATGCCACTCCATACAAAAAGAGAATCTTAAAAGCAGCAAGAGGAAGACAGTTATCTACAAGGAAGCTCCCATAAAACTATAAGGTTATTTTTCAACAGAAACATTTCAGGCCAGAGGGCATTGTCATGAAATATCCAAAGCAATGAAAAGCAAGGACCTATAACAAAGACTATTTTACCCAGCAAAGCTATCATTTAAAATTGAGGGAGAAATAAAGAATTTCCCAGACAAGAAAAGGCTAAAGGAGTTCATTACCACCAAACCAGTATTTCAAGAAATGTTAAAGGGTCTTCATTGTTAAGAAGAACAACAATAACAACAGAGGAACATAGTTATAATGAATAAAATTAAAATGACAATACATATGTACCTGTCAATATCCACTTTAAATGCAAATGGCTTAAATGTTCTAATTAAAAGATATAGGGTAGCTGAATGGATAAGAAAACAAGACCCATACATATGCTGTCTATAAGAGACCCACCTCAGCCGAAACCGGTTTGGCTCAATGGATAGAGCATCAGCTTGGGGACTGAAAGGTCCCGGGTTCGATTCCGATAAAGGGCATGTACCTTGGTTGTGGGCATATCCCCAGTAGGGGGTGTGCAAGAGGCAGCTGATCAATGACTCTCTCTCATCGATGTTTCTAACTCTCTCTCTCCCTTCCTCTCTGTACAAAATCAATAAAATATATTAAAAAAAAAAAGAGCCCCACCTCAGAATGAAAGATATACACAGACTAAAAGGATGGAAAAGATATTTCATGAAAATGGAAATGCAAAAAAATAAAATAAAATAAAAAATAAAAAGCTGGGATAGCAATACAGATTTAAAAAACAAAGGCTATAATAAAAGACAAAGAAAGACAAATAGGGCGTAGATTGGGAACACAGATATAGGAAGTCTGGGGGAAATCTCAACTCAACTGTGTGAGTTCACCTCCACAGTGACCCAGGATGATGACTAAGAGGGACGTTGAAATGTAAAGTGTTAAGTTGGGGGCTGAGCGAGTACATAGACAAAATGATTAGAGCTAATATTATGTAGAAATCTTTTAAGGCGGGGGACTCAAAAGTGTTTTTCAGCCCTAGCCAGTTTGGATCCTAGGTTCAATTCTGCTCAAGGGCTTGGTTACAGGTTCCAGCCCCAGTCAATACACATGCAGAAGGCATCCAATCAATATGTTTCTCTCTCTCTGTCTCTCCCCCTGCCTTCCACTCGCTCTAAAAATCAATGAAAAATTCTCAGGTAAGGATTAACAACAAAAAAAGTTTTTCATGTGAGTGTACAAAGGCAGATGGGCATAAATCTTGCATCTAGAATTTACAGTCTTGCTTTGAGCTGTTTTGCTTTATATTTCATGGCATATCCTCAACTGGAGAGGAATAGTGCACCCCCAACACTTGGTCACCTATGGAAAAGTCCAGAAAAGCTTCTGCTATGTATCATATTATCAGTGGGGCTCCATCCTTACACTACAGAAAAGCTACAGATTGAGAATCAAAAGAAAAGTCTTAAGGCTTCTTCTTGTCTTTCCCCCCATCCCTTATTTATTCTAGAATAAATAGGTGAGGAGAAGAATAACTCTTTATAAGGACCTGTACTCCTGTAATAACTATTAGTGGGCAAAAGTATTTAAAACAGGAGAGTTTATTATGAGCCCTTTAGGCAATTCCAACTCAACACACTGGAAGAAAGAGGCAGAAGATCAGGAAGGAGGAAAAGAGTTGATAATAAATAGAGGAAGGCTCCCTAGCCTTGCCACTCAAAATCTTCCTCAAAGGCACAGATAACCAACACATTTATTTTATTTATTGTTTTGCAGAGGCAATATAGACATTTAACATAGCCAGCACAAGAAAACCAAATTCTGTGGTCTCTGGCGCCCCCACTTCCCACCCCTCTCCCCCTGTGCAAATCATCATCATCATCATCATCACCATACCAGTCATTCACTCTTTTAGAAAGGGAGAATTCAGCAATAGTTCAGTGTCTGAATCCTAATACTCCCAAGGCCTGGATTCTCAGACTTGTAGCCAGTTTCTTTTTTTAAACATAGCAAATATTTTTGTGGTTTGATTTTCCCATTCCTTGGTTGTTACATTATCAAAATTAGATAGAAATATTCTCATAGAGACTTCAAGAATGAATGAAAACACAGACCACAGTGAAATAGCTCAAGAAAATAGTACTGCCAAAGTCTTTCTCTGTTGTTATTGTAGCCAGAGTTTATCTGTTCTACATTCAACCGTGGCTCTAAAAGGCAAGTCAAAGGCAGAGACTCTGAAAAGATGGTGTCTGAATGGCTTACCCTGGTCAGGCTCAAGGCAACCGCTGTTAACACCAAGTTCTTCTGACAATGTGTCCTTCAAGGGAAGTCTGGAAACTTTGCCTTGTGTGCGATATTCTTCCAGCTCAGACTGGAGTTCATCCACTTGGTCTTGTAATACCTGGAGTTTAAAAACCAACATGAGTATTGGAGGTGACACCAAGCAACAAAAGAAAGTCTTTTGGGTTTCAAAGGTTACCATCAAACAAAATAAAACAAAACAAAACAAAACAAAACAAAAAACACCTAGATAATGGGAGGAAAGTTTTTGCAAATTATATAAGGGACTTGCAACTAGAATATATAAAGAACTATTAAAACTCAACACTAAAAAGACTAACTCACTTTTAGGCAAAGGATCTAAATAGATATTTCTCTAAAGTGGATATATATACCAATAAACAAATGAAAAGACACTCAACATCATTAGCCATCAGGAAAATGCAAATCAAAACTACAGTGAGATGCCGCTTCAGAGCTGCTAGCATGGCTATAATAAAAGAAGGCTTACAATAGTAACTACTGGCCAGGTTGTAGAGATGGAACTCTCATACTGGTGGAAATGTAAAATGGTGCAAACCCATTGGAAATAGTTTGGCACTCCCTTAAAAAGTTAAACATATAGTCATTGTATGACCCAGCAATTCCAATCCTCAGTATATACCTAAGAGAAATGAAAGCATATATCCACACAAAAACTTGCACGCAAGCATTCACATCAGCATTATACACAATCTTCAAAACAATCCAAATGTTCATCAACTAATGAATCTATACTAATAAAAGGGTAATGTGCTAATTAGGCATCTTCCAGACGTGTCCTTTTGGACAAAGCCATGGTGGCGGGGTGGCCAAGGCAAAGGCAGTTAAGGGTGATCAGGCTGGCAGGGGAGGGCAGTTAGGGCGATTAGGCTGGCAGGGGAACAGTTTGGGGTGATCAGGCAGGCAGACAAGCCATTAGGAGCCAGTGGTCCGAGATTGGAGAGGGTGCAGGCTGGGCTGAGGGATCCCTCCCCCACTCCTTCTGTGCATGAATTTCGTGCACTAGGCCTCTAGTGGATAAATAAAATCTGGTACAGTCATATTGATATAATGGAATATTATTTAGCAACTGAAAGAAATGAAGTACTGATACATGCTACAGCATGGGTGGACCTTGAAAACATTATGCTAAATGAAGCAAGCCAGATACAAAGGACCACGTATTATATAATTCCATTTATAGGCAATGTAAAGAACAGGCAAATCTAGAGAGACAGAAAGTAGGTGATTAGTTGCCAGGGCTGGGGTCATGAGAGAAAGTATAATAAAGTGGAGTAAGAGTTTCTTTTTGTGTGACGAAATGTTCTAAAGTGGATTATGGTAATGGATTGCACAATTCTGTGAATATGCTAAAAAACTGTGATTTGTACACTTCAAATGGGTGAACTATAAAATTATAAAAAGCTTTCAAGAAAATAGAGAAGTGGATGGATTTGGGGAATTTTTGGAGGTAGAACTGACAGATTTTACTGATGACATAATTCACTTTAAAGACATATAAAAACACTTCTATTTGATTAGAGCCAATAGCCAAACTTAATTGTAAAAGTAGCATGAATATTCCGACCACCGTTTAGGCCTGATCACACTGTCCATAAAAGTGTCCTTCCCAACCGCTCGCCTGCCTCTCCCTGAATGCCCCTAAACACTTCTGCCTGCCAGCCTGATCACACCCTAACCACTCCCCTGCCAGCCTGATCGATGCCTAACTGCTCCCGGGCTGGCCTGGTCCCCCCTAACTGCCCTCCCATGCAGGCCTGGTCCTCCCCAACTGCCCTCCTCTGCTGGCCCGGTCACCCTAACTGCCCTCCCTGCAGGCCTGATCACCCAAAACTGCCCTCCCCTGAGGTCTGGTCCCCCTCCAACTGTCCTCCCCTGCAGGCCTGGTCCCTCCAAACTGTCCTCCTCTGTAGGCCTGGTCCCCCCAACTGCTCTCTCCTGCAGGCCTGATCACCCACTACTGCTCACCAGAAGGCTTGCCCCCCTCCTCCCCCTATAACTGTTCTCCTCTGCATGCTTGGTCCCCTCAACTGCCCCCCCCTCCCCATTGCAGGCCTGGTTCCTCTTCCCCATCCCCTACCCCCCCACCCCAAATGCCCTCCCTTGCTGGCCTGGTCTCCCCCAATCGCCCTCCTCTGCTAGCCTGGTCATCCCTAACTGCCCACAACTTCTCTCCCCTGCCATCCATCTTATTTCCACATGGGGGCAGCCATCTTGGTCTTGGAGTGATAGTCAAACTGCATATTACTCTTTTATTAGATAGGATGTGCATATATATTTCCTGAGAAGGCAGACTATGAGCAATCTCAAAAGGAGGTGATGTTCTCATTTCTCTGACTGTTCATCTATAGCAGTCAGAACTCAGTTACGCTTACCTTGTTAGAATAAAGAAGTCTTTGTGATTTAAGAAAAAATAATCCAAATACCTAAGCTAAAAAACTCTATATTTCTATTATTTATATAAGGATTTTTTTTTGTCTCTTCTGGTAGTAATTTGTAATTATTTACTAGCTAAAGATTTGCATGGTTTCTGCTTCATTTGCATTTTATAAATAAAATAAGGAATCTAATCTGAAAAAAACCCCCACGGGACAAAAGCCAACTACATCCAATTAGGTCTGTAATGATGAATCAGGAAAGGCTAATTTTGGAATAAACACATCAACATGACCGCAGAGTCCTCTACTTGGAATAAACCATATTTTCCTCTAAGCACCGATAATTTCCGACCTAGATAAAGCAGACTTAGATGCAGTGTGCATGATTCCCTAATATTTCAAGATACTAAATAATAATATTAACAGCTAGCATTTGGGTTAAGTGCTTACCATGTCCCAGGCTCTGTTCTATGCACTTTCCACTCAGTTACTCATGGAATCATCACAACAACCCCATTATTTTTACCTCCTCCCTATGAGGCATCGAGGCTCCCACAGGGTCAGTGACTTGCTCATGGTCACACAGCTAGGAAACCGTCAAGCGGGGTTGGAACCCAGGCATGCCTCCACTTGCTAAGTCCTCTCCAGCCACTCACCCTGCACTGCTGCTCATATTCATTCCTCATCTGTGTCAGCCTCTCTTCTTGCAGGAAGAATTCAGCACTGCTGGGGTCAAGGTCACCAAACTAGAGAAGGAAAAGGAGTAAGCTGTCATTTTCCCAGTGTCCTTCTTTGACCTATAACATTCCAAAGGTCCCAGAGCCTGGTGTTCACCCAGTCGCTTGAGTATGAAAGGAATGTGACATTTAAGTAGGAACACTACCAACGGGATGATGGGAAGAACATTCTAGAGGGGTGTGTTCAGCTAACCCAGGGATCATTTCTCAGTGCCATGCAATGGTTTCCTCACATCCAACCTCTGAAATGAAATCTCTGCCAAGAGGGACTGCTTTCCCTCAGCCACCTACAGCCTTCCCTAGCAGACATTTTCTTGGTGGCACTGCTCCCGCTCTTCTGCGTAAACCACACTTAGGTAGCTGGGTATCAGGAAGTCACATTTAAACAGATTTACCTTTTCTGCTAACACATTTTCCAAATTTCGCTGAAGTCTGTTTGTCAGCTTCTCATACTCAGCCAGCTTCTCCGAATTTTCCAGCAGCTCATTTTCTAGTCGACTGTTTTCCTGAGGAAATTTGGGGAAATCAAATAGGCACAGATTGAGAAATAAGAAAACTGTTGTACCATTTTATAGGAGGCACACAAATCAGTGCTCTGGATTGAGAATTTGTTCATTTTGAAAGTTTCAGATTAGACAAAAGTAAATATTTTTTAAAAAATGGATGTTTATCTTATAATCTAAAAGCCTGCCTCCTTTTTCTTTTTTTTCTTCCTTTCCTTTTTTTTTTTTTTTTTTTTTTGATCCTATAGCACTGTGCTGTCCAATAGGGAGCCACTGGCAGTCACGTGTGGACACTGAGTACCTGAAACACGCACAGTGCTAACTGAGGCGTGCTGGAAGTGTAGAACACTCCCCCGATGCCTAAGAGTTAGCACAAGAATATAAAATTGTTCAGTAATTTTTGTATACTGACTCCATCAAAATGATATTTGGAGATACTGCTAGATTAAATGATTTAAAATTAATTTCACCTGTTCTTTTAAACCTTTTAATGCAGCTATCTGAAAATTTGAAATTACATTAATGGCTTGCATTATCTTTCTTCTGGACAGCATTGCAATAGAAAATTTAATGACATGAAAGACATTCTCAACATATTATCAAATGAGAGAAAACTGGTTCAGCTGTCAGAAAAACTATAAAAAGTAGAATAACCCTGAATTTTTATTTTGTGATAGAGTTTGATTTACAATTTTATTTTGGTTTAAAGATATAAAAGCTTCACACATATAGGTTTTTCATAATTGGCATATGTTTAAATTATTATAATAAAATGAAGTTCACAAAGGGTGGGTTTTTTCTGTATATATATCAATAATACTCGTTAGAGAGATTTCCACCCACAGATTTTCACACAGACACTCCATTCAACCTATTTTCTATTCCAATGTTAAAGCTGATTGGAAGAACAGTATTTTCAAAGTACATTTTGCCAAAAGCATATAGAGCCAATATATGTTAACACATTCATGTTCACACTCTCTCACAGCAATATGGAATAAAAGAGAACATGTTTGAAGCATTAAAAAAATATATACCGTTTCCCCCAAAATGCCAATTCTACAACTCTAACCCTTCAGAGTATGTCTAGATTTAGATGGCAACAATGAGCAGCAATCTTGAGGTCTTGGGTCTGAGGGGATGCTCTGGCCAAGGCAGTCTGGAGGTGGGAGGGAGTCGGATACAAATACAATGACCTATGATGGATCAGAAAATTGGCTTATTTCTGGCAAGAACAAAGTGAGTGAAATGGAAATGAAGAAGTAATTTGGCCTGCAGTGTTGGAGAAAGCGGTGAAGGAGCATAAAAGCCCAACGAGGAACTGAGAGAGCTGATGGCAGGTGCAATGGGGGTGGGGGCATGACACCAAGGAGAGGCGGGGAGGATTGCTGGTGGTTCCTGAGGCTAGAAAGGTATGGCAAGCCCCATTTTGGAGGTCTCCAGTGCTACCACATTGCACCCTTACGAAGGGTAAGAGTGTGATGGTAAGTGTTCTTTAGTAAGGCAACTTTGGTGACCATACAGAGGTCAGACAGATAAAAGAAAGGCTGTACATTATGTCCATGAGAAATCATGATGAATCCTGAGCCTATTCAGAGCCTGTGGAAATGGAGAGGAAGTGGATAAATCGGAGAGGCATTGCATAGCATCAAGACTTAAAACCTGACGAGTGAGGATGACTGAGGACTTGAGCTTCTGGGACATAGCACATGGCAATGATGCAGACCAGGGAGACAATTCAACAGAGGAAATAGTTGGATGGTTAGGAAGCGAGAAGCAGCTCCGTTTTTGATGTGCGGAGTTTGGGAACCTTTCATAACCTCAACAACAGTGACTATTCCATATGTACCAATTACTTTCCAGACACCGTATGTGGAGCGTTTCACTTAATCCCCATTTCAATGCCAGGGGGTAGGCATAACGATGGTGCCCATTTTGCACATTAGGAAACAGGTTTGGGTAACTTGTTCATGGTTTTTCATTAAGTAGTGGTATTCGGATTCGAATCAGGCAGTCTGAGTCCAGACCCCGCTCCCCGCTTATCTCTAGACTACACTGTACCACAGTATCTGGTGTCAGAGTCCAGTAAAGAGAAGGACCACTTCCTCTACAAGGCGTGGGAAAGGAGAGCAGGATGTGTGAGGGAAAAGGCACATTTGGAAGCACAAAAGCAAAGCTGATGGGCTCTGTGTGGCAGGAGACAAGCCCATTTGCTAAGAGAAAGGAGTGAGGGGAGGGCGGGGAAGGGAGAGGGCATCAAGCTGGCCAAACAGCCCTGAGGACCCAGGGAAGCTTCAGGGGGAGAGAAGAACAAGAACCAGCTCTTGACAAGCCAGAAGCCTGGATACCCCTGAAATGGAGACCCCCAGGCGGGGCTCTGCTACACCTGGGTGGCCCCGCAGGGTAACCGTAGGGAAACCTGCCCGAGCCCTGGGCGGACGCGCCCTCTCACACAGCTGCGTTTCCCCCGCAGGACCCAGGCCTCAGAACTAACGGAAGATTACCTTTAAAGAGAGGGCAAGGCGGTCCCGGATGTAGTTCTCTTCTGTTTTTGCCTTTTCAATTTCCTGCTCCAGTTCCAAGCGCTGCTTGCCCACCTGCTGCATGATCTGCTCCCTCTCCTTTCGGAGTTCGTTCTTTAAGGCTGCTATGCGTTCCTTGTACTCTTCATCCAGTTTCCTGGGAGGAGGAAAGACCAGCAAGCTGCCATCACATCTCTCAGAGATCCCTCTGTGGCTCTACCAAAAGTCGAAGCAGAGTCAGGCAACTTGAGAAAGTATCTAGTGTCTCCTGCTTTCCTTTAGGCTTAGCAAGACCTCATTCCCGCCAGCCAGGGGTGGCCAGGCAGGCAGGCAGGCTGAGCCCCATCGCCCGGGGCCAGGGGGCCGGATAAGGAGGGATCGGCCCTACCAGGCGCACCTGAGGTTGTACTCATTCCGTCGCTCTATGGCCGCATGATGATCGTCCACCTCTGAGGCCATCAGAGACTTGAGCTTCTCGGCTTTGTCCAGGTCTAACCGTAGCTTCTCTTTTTCTCTGACCACTTGGTCAACACGCTCCCTGGAATCAGAAATACACCAAGTTCAAGAGAAACTGTTTCTAAGTAACAAGTAGACCCCAACATGCTGTCATCTGGCTTGCTTCAATACAAACACAAGCCCAAACTGGTTTGGCTCAGTGGATAGAGCGTCAGCCTGGGGGCTGAAAGGTCCCGGGTTCGATTCTGATCAAGGGCATGTACCTTGGTTGCAGGCACATCCCCAATAGGTGTGCAAGAGGCAGTTTCTCTCTCATCGATGTTTTTAACTCTCTATCCCTCTCTCTTCCTCTCTGTAAAAAAATCAATAAAATATATATTTTTAAAAATACAAACACAAAACCAAGACAGCCAAACAGCTTTCAAAACGAGGACACTGCACAGCTCCCTTCAAAAACCCACAAGCACATCTACGCTCTCCCTCGTTTTTACAGCAGAGATGACAGCAGAGTAGCCACATCTGCATATGGAAACACATGTATGTCACCGGCACCCCAATGACATTTGCTGGACCAGTAGAAAAGAAAATGAAGGAAACCACTCACAGCAAATGCCGGATCTCAGCTTTGAAGCTGGCCAGAGCCGCCTGGTGGATGCTGTTCTTGGTGACCAGAAGTTCATTTTCCAGAGCCAGTGTCAACTCTGTCAAGTTGACGTTTCCATTGAGGCTAAAATCCAAGGCCTGGAGGTCAGAACAAGTTCAGGAGAATCATAAGTTCTGTCCTCTGGAGGCTGACAGTGAAGGTTAACAAGCCCAGAGAGCTAAATGTATAGTCTAGAACCATGGTCGGCAAACTGCTGTTTGCGAGCCACATGCGGCTCTTTGGTCCCTTACATATGTATTCTCATCCCCCATTACCTTCCCACCTCCCACCCCCACCTCATGGCCTGGGCGAGTCTATTTTGAAGAAGTGGCGTTACAAGAATTTTAAGTTTATAAAAATATGGCTCTCAAAAGAAATTTCAATTGTTGTACTATTGATATTTGGCTCTGTTGACTAATGAGTTTGCCAACCATTGGTCTAGGAGATGGATAATTACATTTCTTTAGTGACTGCTAAGGAACAATCTTTAGTCCGGAACATAACTAGCTTTCTTTAAGGAAACCTTACCATGGTTATTTAAATGTTTTTAAAGAAAATGCTATCTGGTACTTTAAATAAACACAATGGTATAATTCTAATCCTTACCAAGCAGAGATTAGTTAAGAGCATTTCTTTTATCAATAATTTAGGAGTTAAAAACATAGAAAGTAGTTAGTAACAGACTCCTGGTGAAAGGGGGTAGAAAAAGTTACCTCTTATTTTTGAGGTCTTGTGAATAGAAGTATCATTAAGGAGAAATCAAATGACCAAATCACAGTTTCAAAAAACACCTGGAATTTTTCAACCCTTTCCCAATATAATTTTCCTCCCATTTTTGCTGCCACACCTTCAGGATCTCCTGGCTGTTCTCAATGCCCTCTTCCTGCCAGGTGTCAAGTATTCTGTCCACTGATGCGTAGCCCAGTCCATCATCCAGGCAGGAGAAGACCCGAAAGGCAGTGGTACTCGTCATCACCAAAGGGGCTGTAGTGCGTCGTCCACTCTCATCAAAAGACTGGAGGAAGAAAGCGACTTGAGCAAACTCAGGCATTTCGACAAGGTGTTGGTGAAGGCCAAACTGGTCAGTCCTGCCCACAAGAGCAGGAGGTGTGTTTCTCTAATTTACATGAGGGGCGGGGCGTGCCATGCAGCCCCTTTGATCTCCTTTTCCCAAGTGAGCCAAGAATGCAAAGGTTATCAAAAACAAGGAACTCGCCAAAACCGGTTTGGCTCTGTGGACTGAAAGGTCCCAGGTTTGATTCCAGTCAAGGGCATGTACGTTGGTTGCGGGCATATCCCTAGTAGGGGGTGTGCAAGAGGCAGCTGGTTGATGTTTCTCTCTCATTGACATTTCTAACTCTCTCTCTCTCTCTCCCTTCCTCTCTGTAAAAAAATCAATAAAATATATATTTTTAAAAACACACACAAAACTAAAACAAACAAAAAAACACAAGGAACTCTGGCAGAGAGTTCCTTGCTCTAGATGAGATGTGTCTCTACTTAGCACCAGGTTTCTTCTTCAGTTAACATTAAGGGGCACAACTAGTGGTCTTCCCACTCTGTAATTTATGGTCATTTTGCAAACCTAATTTTCCCTCCTTAAGGGCTTATTCCTTCTTTCTTTTTTAAAATTTCTTTATTGATTAAGGTATTGCATATGTGTCCTCATTCCCTCATTACCTTCCCACCGCTCCCCTACCCCCATGCTGGCTTATTCTTTCTTATTCTTCTTTTGCCTCACTCCTTCTCCTTAGTATTTTTCTTCAAACAACTGGTTAAGTCATTAAAAATTATTCACATGGGTTTCACTTCTACTTATAAAGAAACCACTTCCACCAGGCTGGTGTGGCTCTGTGGTTGAGTGTTGACCTATGTCCTAGGAGGTCATGGTTCGACTCCCAGTCAAGGCACATCGCCCAGGTTGTGGGCTCGATCTCCAATAGGGAACGCGCAGGAGGCAGCCAACCAATGATTCTCTCACTCCCTCTCCTTTCCCCTCTGAAATCAATAAAAATGTATGTTAAAAAGAAATCACTTCCCATTTATTTCTTACCTGCATGGAGAGGTGCCTTTTCAACTGTCTATACGGAGTAGACGCTGACGGTGTAAGGGATTTCCCATTTTTGTACAAGCCATAGAAAAAGTCTTCTACACTCATTGTGCCATCAGGATCAAGGTTATGGAAGACTTCCTCCAGCGCCTGGAAAAAGGTAACCAAATACTCAAGGCCCAAAGTACACTACTGGCCAATAGAAATTGGCATCAAGGTTGATCCCAGGACTCCAGAAATATAACATGTCTCTCTATTCTAGTTTCACTAAATTTACTTTCCTTTTTAGTAATTATGTCCTTCTCCCTCACACAAACTAAGCAAAAGTCCATTTCAATATCTTCACAATCTTTACACAAGTTAGCAATTACCTTTTTTTCTTTTACTCACACTTTTAAAGCAGGAACCCTTTTTCTTTTTTAAATTTCAGAGAGGAAGGGAGAGGGAGAGATAGAAACATCAATGATGAAAATCACTGATTGGCTTCCTCCTGCACCCTAAACCCCCACTGGGGATTGAGCCTGCAAACTGGGCATGTGCCAGACCCAGAATCAAACCATGACCTCCTGGTTCACAGGCTGATGCTCAACCACTGAGCAATGGCAGCCAGGTGAGCAGGTAATCTTTAATGTTACTACACATCATTCTCACAAATTAAAAAATTACTTAAGAGATATAGCTTACTAGTGATGTATTAGTAAAAGTTAGTTGACCATTGAGTCATTGTACAGTGGTTACTTTACATAATATTGTACGTATATTTAATTTTTTAAAATGGTATGTTAGGATCTGGTCTAGAGCAGATAGCAATGGCCTAAAGACTTAGATCTGAAACCCCTGGCGTGGGATTTAGAATGTTATTTGGAACGAGACTGTGTGTTTTTATTTGTCCTCATGCTTTAGCATGGGAGAAGTGAAGATTGGAGGAAAAGGATTTTGTGTGTGTGCAATAGAAGGATTCTAAGAGGTGTAAAAAGAAGGGAATTTTTCTGGCCATTGTGCAACCTCTGACAGTAATCATGTGGTCTTCATCATATAATGGGGGGAGAGGACACTGGGCTACAGTCTCTCTGATAGGTTCGCCAGGGGAGATGGTTTGTTTCCCAGCTCAACAGGGGAAAGGAAAGGTGAATAAAGCAGAGGAATCACCGAAACACAAAACTGGGTAAAGACCTCTTTCTCCTCCTGGCAGTTGGATTCCTCTTTTCTATGGGAACATGCCGTCAGGGAATAAAGCAGAGGTTGCTGGAGGATCTTGTTAAATGTGGTCTCTGATATAGTTCATGTGGGGGCGGGGCCGAGATCCTGCAATTCTAACAAGCTCCCTGGTGATGCCTGTGTTGCTAAGTAATAAACAGAATAAACATCAAATTTAGTCTTATTGCATTAGAGCCTATGATTAGTTGGGTCCACTTTAACAAAGGCCTCTTCGTAACACATCCTTCAATTTACAATATTCATTTCCTAAGCCTGGGCTGCAACGAGGATTCCTGTCATCTCAGAATTGTTCATTTTATTCTTCTTGTAATTGCTTGAGGCATTTCTTTCATGTCAAATGCTTTTTCCCCTCCCAATCCCTATCCAATAGGAAACATCTGTTTCTATTTCTATTTATATACCACTTCCTCTGGAGAGGACTCTAAAACAAGAAAACCATTCTTAGGAGTGGAAATCTTTGGCAGAAGAAGCAATAGCTCCAAATGGAGAATTGTGTGGTGAAACTCAAAGGTATTTGGGTCAAGATTCTATGTTTGCTAAGATCCCCTTAGCTTCTCAGTCCCCTTCTTACCAGCCAAAAGCACACTTTCTTAGAGGACGAGGCCTTCCAGGCCATCAAACCGGAAGTCACGGTAAAATCCAGCTGCAGGAGACTGGAGTTAACGAGCATAGTGTGGCTCTGACCTTAGAGACCCACACTGCTTAGCTCTGAGACCCTGGCCAAATCCATGTATAGCTTCCAGATTGCCTAAACACCAGTCACCTGATCCATTCACAGGGAGCCCTGCCAGTTACTGCGCACGGGGCAGTGGGCAAATGGTGCGTCAGAAGGATGTGGACTCAGAGGAGGGTGGGTGAGCGGGGTTGGGCTGAAAAGAACACAAGTCAGCTGAGCAACTGGGGCGCCCCCTGCAGCCTGTGCAGGAGCCAAACTTAGTCGCCTGAGGACAGTCTTACTCCCCAGGCTACATCAGACAGATCTTTGGATGGCTGGTTTCCCAATGTGCAAAATAATGCACTAGAATAGGGACCTCGAATCCCAAATATTCACGGAGACCAGAAGGTGCTGTATGAGGCAGGATGGTCCGGAGATGTTAGCAAGCAGTGCCCTTTAAAGCAGTGAACCGAACCCACGAGGGCATGCCCGGCCCAGAGGCCCGAGGCACTTCCTGCTGCCAGCAAACGGAGCCAAATCCAACCTTTAAAAAAACTTCCTGATTTAAAAAAAGGGCAGCAAAAACGTTCGACTTCTAAACATTGCGCAGGCCAAATAAAACAGCCTGTGGGCCGTGTTTGGCAGCGAGGGCGACCGTGTGCCATCCGTGCCCTGTAGGTGTCCTAGCTTCTGGAAGGCAGAGTCCACACTCCTGCCTCCGTCCCTCCTCACGGTAACAGCGAGCGGCAGTGATCTCACTCTTCATCTATGAAGTGAGGAGTAACTAAACCTAAAATTGCTTTCGGTTGTACAATTCTGGGATTTCAAATCGTGTGCTGATGAGATCATGATGAACGCCCAGGTCTTCTGTGGTAAGGAAAAGCTATCCTCAGTGAGCGGTCCTCTCCTCCGGCTCCGATGAGAGGAAAATAACGGGACAGGCTGCTTCTCGCCCTGGGTCCTGGAAATTCCACCACAAAAGATCAACTGCCCGCAAGTGGCTGCCGTTTGTTCCAAGAGTTGTTCTTGGATAAATAATCCATGCTTGTGCAACTATTTCTTGGCAAAAACAACCTGAGATTGTACATTCTGCGCTGGTTTATACTTAGGAGGATGCATTTAATTTTATGACTCAACAGCCACCGCTGAAAAATAAATCATTAAAAAGGTAGTCAAATGGCATATAATGGTCACATACACAAGGAAGAAGGGAAAAAGACCTCTGCTAGCCAGGCTGCTTGGGAGCTTTGATAAGTCTCTCTCTGGTTTAGGAAATGCTACTGACTCCTGAGCAAACAGACAGCAAGGCTTCAAAATATTATTATAATCAAAGGTTCCCCAAGCTACAACGAGCCCTAACCTCTTAGTCCCTCCAATCCTTTTTTTTTTTTCTTCTTCTTCTTTTTTTTTTAGCTCTTTGAAAGACATACCTTGGAATTATTTATATTCTTATGTTTCAAAACTATTACCCAGTCCTGCCTGTTCTCTTCTTAAATGCAAAGCTCAGAAAATGCAAAGCTCACAATTTTGCTAAACAAGAGTTTTGGGTACTCCTTCAAACTCTCTCCTGTCTCTCTTCAAAACCACCAAGCGACCCTTTTCCGTTCTTCATGACTAGAATAGCATCATGGCTCCTAGCTGGTCTTCTAACCAGATGGTCTCTTTACTCCAAGACACCCAGACCACCCTCAGCACGTCAGTTTCTCCTATATGTTAGTCTGCTACAGCGCCCAGGCTGGTATTGGGATCGCTCCCAAAACCTAATCTCATCAGCCTGGCCTTCAACTTATTTCCCCAACTCCAATCTGCCTGCTTAATCCTTCCTCTACACCTTCCCCACAGTCACACCCATGAATGCCATGTCTACAAAGACAGGCTGTTTCCAAAATGTATACATACACTTTGAGTAATTATAAAGGCAGCGTTTTTAAAAATACAGTTCATTTTCAAAATTGAGCTACCGGCTATTCAAGTATGTAGACATTGTTGGGGGGACACCTTATATATCTGACACGATGGCTGTACTGATATAATATATAGTATGGGGTAAAGCGAGGGGCACCGAGTATGGGCTCAGTAGGTGTCAGCTATTGTCTGTTTTTCTTTTCTACAACACAGCTCCTCAAGGACAGGATCTTCGTGGCTGACTTCCCAGAAAAAAAAGAGAAGGAAGTCTCTGGAACATACTTCAGGAAGCCAGAACATGGCTGTTCCAGGCCTGTGGGCAGCTGAGCTTTTATGGTGATGACTCTTCATGAATAAACATGTGATGCACGGCTCACCTCTCCATCGACATTCTGCAGACCGTACTGCTCACAGAGGGAGGCTAGCTTCTTCCGGTTCAGGTGACCATCCCGAGTAATCCCCAAATCTTCACAAACCTCCTGCAGTTTCTCCTCTATCCAGTCCTGGGCAGGGGCAGGCCCACTTTGGGAGGCATTCAAGTCATCTGGGTTCCAAAATCTTAGCTGGCCTGAAATAAAAGCATACGTTGTGTTGTCTCCAAAGGGATTACAAAGAGAGAGACCAATCTCAAAGAAAAAAAAAAATAGTGTTCTTTTGAAAGTAAAAATGATAAAAAAAAAAAAAAGACTATGAATGCTGATTCCATTTTGATTTAATTCTGAAGTTCAAATGCAATGGAACCACTGGTTCTCGGGCTGCACTTAGGGCAGTGGTCAGCAAACTCATTAGTCAACAGAGCCAAATATCATCAGTACAACGATTGAAACTTCTTTTGAGAGACACATTTTTTTAGACTTAAACTTTTTCTAACGCCACTTCTTCAAAATAGACTCACCCCTGCCGTGGTATTTTGTGGAAGAGCCACATTCAAGGGGCCAAAGGGCTGCAGGTAGCTCTCGAGCCGCAGTTTGCCCACTATTGACCTAGGGCAATCAGGCTTTTTAAAATTTTGTTCACTGGCAGTCATGCCCGTGGAAGAAGTAGCTCTCGTGCAGCCATGCCGAGGGTCTAGTCCTGCCTCACTCAGTACAACGGACACATGGATAGCCTCAGGCTTTGGTGACAGCGGGGGAGAAAGCTGGGTGAGAGGCACTCCACCGAGCTTTACCCACCCACCTCAACAAGGGCTCCCGTTACCTCCACTCTCTGTCTAGTCTAAGCACTAGAAAGTCTAGTCTGGCACTGGTTTTACTGCGAAGAAAATAGTCATGTCTCAAGATTAGTTTGTTCCAAAACCTTTACACCTATCAATATTTTGGCTGGCAAAAACGGCCCAACTCCAAAGAATAAAAAAAGGTTGTAAGCTGCAAGTTATTCATTATCTATATATTAAGGGTAAGTTCTATGCAAAGGCTTGTGGATAAAATGACTTATTTAAATATCAAAGTTTATTTTTCTATTAAAAGTTCTCACTTCTAGTTATATTTTCGACTTGCCCTCTTATTGGTCTTTAAGGTCATTAAACATGAGATAATTACTGGCACAATTTTGTGTGCCCGGAAGAACTTGGAGGGTTGAGAAGAGCATTTAGTGTTATTTATCGAAGAGATTATGCCCATTACTGCTGTGTGTTTCCAGGCTGGAGACCTGGAGAACACGCTGTAATTGCACTTAAGTACACAGATAGCCTGCCAGGGTAGTCTGTGCAGCCAGCTGAGGGTCTGTCAGCTGAGCCACAGTGCCATCTGCTGGCCAAAGATCAACTTGTTTTGAATGCTCTTTTTTTTTTTTTTTTTAATTGAATCTATTGGGGTGACATTGTGCTTAATAAAACCATACATGTTTCAAGTGATGTTTCTTAAATACATCTAAAACCTGTCAAGAGATAGGTCGCTATTTAATTCAGGATGGCTCAGATTAATTTCGAAGTCTATAGAAGAGAGTAATTAGCTATAGTGAAATGTTACGTTTCAGTTCTCCTATCTTGCATGATGGTAAAAGTTAGTATTTTAGAACTATAAGCTATCAGTTGAGGGTGAATTTTTCTTGCTTCTGTTCTTAAGGTTACTTCTTCGCTGGCCTCCAGTAAGCACGGCTGTCAGAAGGCCAGGAGATGCAGGAAGGGGAGTGTGGAGAATGCCCGTGAATGGCAGCCGCCCTTCCCCCACACACACTGAGCTCCTACCTTCTGCTTCGTACTCCTCACTGGGCTGCGTCTTCCAGGGCTAGAGGAGGCAAAAGAAGGAGATCAGTGCCCCTGAAAGCATCATCTGCATGAGTCACAGTCCCAGGACCCCCTCGTGCTTCCTCCTCAACCAGCCTCTGAAGAAACACCACACAGCCTTCTGCGGAGTTTCACCACGACGGCAAAGTCACTTATTCCACAGCACAACCTGCCACAACCAACAAAACCACGCTGGAGCAAACACTCAGGTCCCACCAGCCAACAAGCATCTGAATGCATGTGTGGGTGAATGTGTTCCTCCACAGATGTGCACTGGGTGCCAGGAGTTTTGCCCCATCTTTGGAATACAACTATGAAGAGCATGAACATATTTCTTGCCTCAAGAAATGTACATGCTAATGCAGACATGCAGGCAAAACAAAACAACAACAAAAACAAACAAACAAAAAATCAAACCAGGAAGTACAATAGGGTAGTATATTACAATACATGCTATGATGGGGAAGTTCAAGGTGCTATGAGAATACATGGGATCCTTCGGACGTGGGAGATCTGGGTAGACTTCCTAAAGAATCGATCGTCTAAACTGAGACCTGAGGGTGAGCAGGAGCAGGCGACAGCCAGGTGAAAAGGAAGGAGCAGGTGCTGTTTGCAGAATGAGGCAGGAATGAGCCTAGTGTGTCTGCAGCCCAGTAAGAGGGGACAGATGCAACCCAAAAGGAGGAAGGCTAGAAAGGTCAAATGGACACTGCCAGGAACTTACACTAAAAACAGCGACATTTATCTGACCTGGGCCGTTTTACCCCCTTAGCATATGCTATGTTACTGCTACTGGGTCTTTTCCACGTCCCAGCATGGAGCAGTGGTTTGGGCTGGCGCACAACTGCACTGGGCCAAGGACACAAGTCAGAGCCCCAATCCAGGCGTTGCTCCACTGGCCAACACGGCACAGGTCTGCTCCAACCATGGGCAACGAGTAGGTCCGCAGTGGCCTTGGCCTCACTAGTGAGCTGCCTAATCACTGCTTTTGGGAGGTTCTACAATAGGGGTGTCGAACTCAATCAGAGAAGGGGCCAAAATCTAAAATCCAGCCTAAATTGCGGGCCGAATGGTTTACTGAACAGTCATAAACTGTCATTGTGATGGAAATGCAGCGGAGTGCAGTGATGACAGCGCGGTGCGGGCCACATTGCAAGGCCTGGCGGGACGGATTTGGCCCTCGGGCCTTGTGTTTGACACATGTGTTCTACAACCATCGCAGGAAAACTCATTGAGGAAAAAAAAAAAAAGGTGTATCCCCCCCCCCACCACCATCACCCTCCCTTCCAAACCTGGCTGCTGTCTCAGCAAAGAGCCAATGGTAGGAATGAAGCTCCCTTGACCACTCTCTGTGCTGGCTGATTTCTTAGAATCCCGAAACAAACTCAACAGGAAAACAAGCCTCATTACTCCCGTCTCCAGAGCTCGGATTGCTCATGGCAGGCAGTGAGCAGGTTGACTTTCAGTAGCTAGTGCGAGTTGATCTGAGTAAGCATGCCTACTTTGTTCCTCTTGGCACTCAGGCCTCTCCTCTTAACCGAAGGACAGCCATCCAACAGGGCGTCACAGTTCCATACTTTACCTAAAAACATACTGAAGGTAATACCAATTCAGAGAGTTCCCCAGATTTTGCACACTGAACTGAAACCACGCACTGACAACGACGAGTGAAAGTCACTGTGGAAACTGAGTTAGGGTGCAATGATATTTGCTTGTTAATTTGATTACAATTTTATCAGCCCGCATTTCCACATAAAGACAGATCCAACCTGGCAATGTCCACGCATGGTGGGTGTAGGGAGGGAGCAGTGGAATAAATAGTCCTTCATAGATTTTCCAATATTATTTTTTGGGGAAGAATTCAACTGTTTGTATATTAAAAGTTTTAAATCAATAAAGTCCCATTAATAAAAGCACACTGCTTGTCTGTCCTCTATTTTCTCATCCAATAGATCAAATTATTTATTTACAATACTAGAGGCTCGTTGCTCGAAATTCATGCACAGGGAGGATCCTAGGCCTGGCCAGCAATCAGGGCCAATTGGGGCCTTCTGGCTTCTGGTTGGGACCTTCTTTCATTCCGTGCTGCCCCCTGGTGGTCAGTGCCTGTCATAGAGAGCAATCGGTTTCCTGGTTGAACTTCTGCAGGGACAATTTGTATAGTAGGCTTTTACATATATAGATTTCTATTTTTTTCAGCAAATGATTTAAATTCTCGTCCGACTTTGGCACCCCAAATGTGAAAACTCATTCAGTATTATAAGTTGGACACACCCTGAAATAAAATCCATTAAATCCACCTACAACAAATAAAAATAGGTTTCTATGGTCTAAGAATCATTTGGTCAAAATAAAACCCACCAAATCACAAACAGCGGATGGTTTTGAACAGCATAAACTGGCAGGAGAAATGGCAAAATGAATCTCGCTGGATATGAATGATAGAGGGAGCCTCGCTGGGATACAGCTGGAAAAATGCAAACACACCTTCAAAAAATCCTTGGTAACAATTCCTAAAGCGACAAGCTGTGTATCTTGCTACATAAAAGTTTATTGTTCATATTTGCTCACTTCTCAATGCATTTTAAAACAGTGAGCCATTAGTTCAGAGGATCAAGAGGCTACACACTCACTGTCTCCAACATCTCACGAGGCTATGGGACCAGGTGCATGTATCTGATGCAATCCCCAGGCTGGTACTTCCCCGCACCTTCTTTTCCCGACTCTCACCCCTAACTAATAAGAGATGGAGTTGTGGGGTTACTGCACGCACGTAGGAGCTGGACTGCCAGGCTCTGAATCCTGGCTTACCTACCAGGTTGGGTTTGGACAAATCTCTTAACCTCTTTCACCTCAGTTTCCCATCTGTAAAATGGGATCAAAGTAGTACATATTTCACAGAGCTGGGTAAAACGCTTAGAATTGTTCCTGGCACATAATAAGCACTATATAAAGTCTTATTTTTAGTGGACATGTGTTTATGTAATACATATCGAATGCACGTTTACAATTGTTTTTTATTACGCTTAAACTGAAAGCATTAATTTGGGCAGCCCTGGAGAGGTATCAATTTGTAAGAAAAATGCCAAGTCTCCAGTAAATATGCACAGAGTACAGACAATTTGCATGAGAGGCAACGCAATTAAACAAATGCCAAAAGCGGCATTCTTAAGATAGCCTAACCCAGAGGCATCGGATACAGCGCAACCCCTGAAACCCCAGAGAAAGGTTCATTGCCACAGCAATCAAAGAAGGAGAAATGCAAACCAAGGGATCAGTTTGTTCCCATTGAATTAGAAAAGTGAGATGGGACTCCTATTACCATCAACACATAATTCAAAACAGGCCTGTTTATATGTTACTGGTAGCAGGGTAAATGGATATTACCCTTTTAGTAAAGCAAATGACTTAATGTATCAAAAGCCATAAAAATATCCATGCTCTTTAACTCAATAATTTCATATGGTAATAAAACCAAAAGAAGCATAAAAACACAGACATAAATACATACAATTAGCATTTTTTTTTTTGAGCAAACTATTGAAAACCATTTAAAATAGTCAACGTTGGGGCATAAAAGTGTAATGATCATCATAACGGTAGTCATTAAAAGAGTAATCATAAAAGCATGTAGGAACATGGAAACATGTCTTATGAAATGTTAGGTGGAAGACCATAACAAAAATGCTATCTACACTAATATTACCGCTGGCAAAAATATTTATACAATTAGACAAAGGCCGGAAGGAAATAGAGACAATGAAGTGGATACATTTGCTTGACGGACACGAGAAACAATCTTATGGCATTTCCTTTTGCTGTTATAAATGTTGTTTATGCAACATAAATAGGTACAACTTCACTATTCTTCAAATTTTCACGGAATGAATTTCCTGTGACGTGGGGGTGGGAGAAAAGGAAAGTCCTCTTCCTTAAATGACCGTATTTACCACAGTGCAGCACCTGTAATGTCTGTCCTCTAGCACGGGGCCCCTGACAGAGAGGTGGGTGGTGGGAGGCCCATGGGTGAAACCCAGCTGGAACCAGAGCTGCCCAAGCGGACAGAGTGTGGAAAGATCAGGGACACCCATCTGAGACCTACCTCAGGGGTTGTGACCAGGACTATCCAAAAGAGGAATTCTTAAAATAGCCTAACCCAGTGGACCGCAAACTCATTCATCAACAGAGCCAACTATCTACAGTACAAAGATTGAAATTTCTTTTGAGAGCCGAAAACCGACTTCTGCCCATGGGCCACGAAGTTTCAATGTCATTGTACGTGAGTGCCCGCACGTGGTATTTTGTGGAAGAGCCACACTCGAGGGGCCAAAGAGCAGCATGTGGCTTGAGAGCCTCAGTTTGCCGACCATGGGCCTACCCCAATGGCTTCGGAACAGCAAAACCTCTACACCGCAGGCAGCACCAGCGGCTCAAATGGCTTCACACAAGCTTGTAGAGCCAGGGGTGGCAGCGTAGGGGGTAACTTGCTTTAAAATCTCCCAAGCATCCCTCCCCTGGCCCTGTGGGAGGAACACAGGTCCAGCTAGGAGCAGCCCTGACAGGGAGAAGCACGTTTATGCTAATGGCTGCATTTTCATTCCAAGACCACCTCGGCTGGAGAGGGAGTTTGCCATCCTGATAAAGAAGGAGGTAAGCACATGGCGGCTGAACGTTTATTAAATTGCAATGGGGGGGCGGCAGCGGCGGAGTGAGGAGATACAATTCATTCGCAGCTCATTTATTTTCATTCTCACTGCCTGGAGCCAGCAATTCCAATTAAAAAGCAGGGGTGGGGTGGGAGGGAGGCAGGTTAAAAGGTTGGGGATTAGATCGTTGGCTACTGGAACAGCACCAATAGGAGGAGGCATCATTCCGGAACACGGTGGTTTAATTGCTGCAGGTTTACCCAGGCAGGGCAAGCCTGGCAGGTGGCCTGAGACACAGGCCAGCCGGGGGCACTGGAAGGAAGACGACCACAAACATCTCAGGGAAAATGGAGAG